AATTATTCCCTTTCCTGCCTTTATCAGAGCACTCAAAATATGTATAAAAAAAATTATAGATGGGTGAAATAAATTCTAAGAAAAATCAAAAATACGAAAAAAATGTCAAAACAAGGCAGGAATGATTTTTACATCAATAAAGCTATAATTTATGAAAGTGAAGAAAGGCTCAAAACCCCATCCCAAGTGCAAACCAATCAAATAAAGTTTCTGCAAATAATTTCCTCAAATATTTCCCTTCAACACTTTCAACAATCACGAAATTTCCAACAGTTCTTGTTTATTATTTATCACCACTTTTCAGTAAACCCCAACTAAACCAAAAATAAGCTCTCCAAATCCCGGGCGCCTCCAATATAAAACTCGATACACTCGAATGGTATATCAAAATAAATTGAACATCATATATATTCGTATATACTATAAACATACATATATACTCGGGGATAGATATGTATGTACAAATGTCTGTGTGTCCCGAGGGCTTTGGCAGACAACACAAAAATTTCTGGTTATTACTAATATCAGAGAGCCAATACAAATACCAAACGAAAAATGTACGGGGCACAAACACTATTTTTTGTGCTGTATTTGGAGAACTAAGCCCAAAGTAAATGACACAATGGTAACAAGTCCGTGACAAACAGAGAGATATAGAGAAAGAGAGAGAGAGAGAGAGAATACGCACGGGTACGAGTACGAGTGTGGAGTTCTATGCTAATCCCATCATGTCAATCACATACATAAAGCATTATTAACCGAGGAAACGAGGCAGCCAACACCCAGACCTAGATGAGCCTCAAACTGAAATTTGACTTCATTTTTTGACACACGTAGCAGCAGCAGCAGCAGGAGGACTGGACTGGACTGGACGGGGGCTGTGTGGGTTGTGGAGAAGGGTAAATGTCATCAGCAAACATTGATAGGTGCCCGATAACGATCCGAAACCGAACCCAAATCGAACCAACTGCAGCTAGTGGCCATTTTTAATGGCTTATCACGGCACGCAGTGTGCTCCACACACAGCTGAGGCCATCCCGCCCCAACACATATATGTATATATATATCCTCCTATCCATATCTATGGGTGCTGTAATAATTTTCAGATGTGGCAGTGTTTGCCCTCCCCCATAGTGGATCGTGCAACTATAATATAAATCTATGCTTTGGCATATATTTTCTTCTTCTCGTTCACCTTTATTGTCTCTTTCAGCTCGATTATTTATGTGGTATAAATTTTCTGTGCATATTGACACATTAAATCTCAATGTGTCATGTGGCATTAGGTTTTTTATATGCCCCCGAAACATGGACAATGACGAAAATGAAGGGACAATTCAAGTAGGAACCTCACTGCTTGGCTTTCATGGGTGCGATAAACTGATTTCTTCAATGAAATTATAATGAAAGAGAGATATGATACAGGAGATATAAATACTAAGAAATTTCTATATTTCATTAAGAAGTTAATACTAAGGAAAATATCAGTATTTAGGAATGAAATTATAATGATAAGTAAATGTGTTTGACGCTTTCTTTTAAAGAAAAAACGATGACAAATTATCCTTTTAATTAAAGGCACAAAGCTAAGAATCAAGGATTGTGATATTTTCAGGACACAAAGCAGAAATTATAGAAAAAATTCAATCCTTTTAGGTGCCCATATTTCTTTGTCTGGTAATATAAAAATTCTTTCAAATTTAGAAAGAAAGATATCAAAGCTCTATTATCTTGAAGTGGCTGAAACGTCTGGAGAAAGTCATAAAGATATCATATCAGGATATTAATAACCCATTATAGTCATAAATGATTTGCAATTTTTAAATGATTCATTGACTTGCAAGCTTTGAGTGATAATAAATCGAGAACTTGAAAAAATGATTGATGAACTTTTTGTTAAATTATTATTTTTATTACCAATAGAACTGTAATTACTTTTAATAGGAATTTTAATATTTTTTGCTACGAAAAATCGGACATTAAAAAATCTCGATATGAATTTGTTGGTGTGCTATGAAACTCAAATTAAATTCAAAATTTGAATAGTAATTCTCAGAGTTAACTTCCACAAATGTTTCAAAATAAACAAAAAAAAAGACTGACGAAAAACCTGCCTTTTTTGCCGTTTAATAATGATTGCATAGATTTGATCGTAAATGTCGCTATTTAGTTTTTATTGGAAGTAATACTAATTTTTATTGGTTTATTGCCCTATATTGTTTTAATCAATATGCCCGCCGCAAAACCCCACAGAATCGCCGCTTATCTACAATGCTTTTTGACGTTCCCCAGCCGAGATAACACCACACGGGGGAACAGCAAAGAACGCTCGGCTCGTTTTTGTGTAGCCACGTTTCCATATCACTCGAAACATTATTGAAGCAACAGAAAATAGAACTCGTAACCAGTGAGAGGAGAACCCAGGACTTATTGACAGGGCGGGCGTTTATTTGATTTCCCCCTCAATAATCTAATCGCGAAAAACCTGCCAGAACCGAACCACCAGCCAGCCCCAGCCAGCCAGCCAGCTAGCCAGCCATTGAAACAAAAGTACAAGGCATCAGAGCAGCAACACCCAACCCCCACCAAGTGGCAGAGCTAGGGGCTAGAATTGTTTTATTGCCACACCCCAAAATGAAGTGGGCCGCGCTGTGACGTGTGACGGCACATGCCCCAAAAAAAATAAACAGGCCTTTTCTATACAGCTACACTTGTAGATAGTTGTAGATAGAACTAGCATCTATCACACAAGGCTTCGAATTAATGAAAGATATCAAATTTTAGATTTGTAGATCTAAGAAAAGTATGGAAATGGAACAGTTACGAGAGCTTATTCATAAGAACTGAATGTACTGGATAAAACGTTATTTAAACAGAGGAAACCCCCTTCTATCTATCTATCTATCTATCCATCCTTCAATATTTTTATAAATTTATTTCCTACAACTTATGGCTTCTAGCTCCAAGCTTAAGCTCTTCAATTGTGTAATTTTAAATAACGAAAACCCGTCTGTACTCTTTGTTGAATCAAAAATATATAAAACTCAGCCCATAGAGTGTAAGAGTACCACAGACAAAAAAAAAGAACGTCCAGCCAACTCTTTGAATAATAAATAAAGCAAACTTAAGTTGCCTTGTCGGCTTGACCAGGTGGATTAACCGACAACAAAAAACGGCAACGGCAACGGGCAACGGGCAAAGGCCATAAACGTTAATTGCATACCAACAGATTTTATGGGCTTAATGGATATCGTCGATATTGTCGATATCGTCGTCGATGTCGTTCGTCTTGACATGCGCTCTCGGGTCATAAATCGTAAGCGTGTTCACGTGTGTGCATTTGTGTGTGTGTGTGTGTGTGTGTCAGTCTCCGCATGTGTATTTAGTCTTTCTCTCTCTTTCGTGTGTACATTGACATTTGCATTGCTCTCTCTTGTTGTTTCTGTGGCTTTGCGGCTTGCGCTGAAGTTTCAAAGACGAGCGGGGGTAGGGAGGAGAACAAGGAGACAAACAAAACACGAAAAGATAACAGCAAAAAAACTGCATATGCAAAAAAATTTGCATCACCAGTGGCAGTAGGGGGCAGGGGTACACAGAAAAAGCTAAAACCTAATTGCAGGAGCTTTTTTAGAGTTGAGCTTTCACTTTAAATTGAGGAATGCTGAAACTAGCGGAGAACAGAGGCCTAGAAAACATACTCAAATCGAATGGCAAAGCTCCGCTTAAGCTTAAGCGTTCCCTTAGTCAAGCTTTCAATTTAAAGTGAACAATTTTGGAAGCAAAATGTAAATAAATGTATCATAAGGCGTAAGTTTGCTGCACGCGTCAAAAACTCCAATTAGAGAGCTCTCTGAATGCTAATTGCTGTGAGATTCTACCCTCTCTCTCTCTCTCTTTCGTACTTCTCCTTTTCCCACATTTGTTTAGATTTTCCATTAAATATTGAAAGTTTTTGAGAAGATGATCAAACCATTTGGTATGTTTCTGCTTTATAGTTAAATTGATTTACGATACGAAATTAGTCAATAGAATCCACAGACAAACAAAACAAAACAAACAAACAGCGAGCTGCTGGCAGCACACAGACACATTTTGTGTGCAGGCCTGTTCTGGGCACATAAATCAAGGCGTCTCTTGGGATCAATCTCTCGCCCTCAACTTTTGGTGGCACACCAAATGGAATGGAATGGAATATCATAAAAATGAAGTTTGAACAAAATTTTTGATTTTTATGAGCTAATTGGCCATTGGATGGGCATCTATGGCAGGTAAACGATTTCTTATAAAATTATACATCTTTCAGTGGTAGAGAGAGAGATACTAATACTATATGGAGGTAGAGAAAAGCGCGAACCGCACGAGCTGATGGTGGAGTTTTGACATAAAGACAATGCACAGCTCTGTGCTTCGGAATGTGTGAGGAGGATCCGGGAGATTTGGGAGAAACCCCAAGAAACCTCAGCGAAGGTCATACGAATTTCAGGGGACAAAACAGAGATATTGATGAATGTATGACTAAGGATTTTGGACAAGTAAAGGAGGTGTATTATGGTTGGGTTTTTACAGCAGATTCCATAGAAATTATGAGAATTATGAGGGCATATTTGGAATCAAAAGCGTGTACTGAAAGTTTCCAGAGGTAACTACATTTATTTGATTAGAAAAGTGGCCAATCCTTGGATAGTAAAGTAGCATTAAAAGAAAACTTGTTTAGGGGAATTATCCGAATTATATTGGCAACTTTTTGTTATATTCTGCAGATCTCCTGTGTTAGAAATTTCGGAAGATTTTTGATTGATAGAAATGGAAACCTCTTTGCAGCAATTGAAAGAGGAATTAAATATTCCGAACTCGAATTAAACTTTTCCACAAGAAAATTTCTCTACTGAAAGTTCCACCTTTTTATGGATCAATATCCGACGGTAAGTTTTGGACTATATTTCTGTTGGCTCCCACACAAGATTATACCCATCGAAACTGAACTTTTGATGAACACTTACCAGGTTGTGGCTGCGCTGGATATGCGGGCTTCTTCATCCATTCGTAGTACTGCGGCTTCTGTGGCGATGTCCGATTGTTGTTGTTGTTTACAGTGACGCTGTTGTTGTTGTTGTTGTGGGTGGATGGACTGTTGTTGTTGTTGTTGCCAGAGGCAAGATGATGGGCAAGATGATGATGCGGCGATGAGGCCGATGTGGGTGCACCCGGACTGGAGATCTCACTGCCCGAAACGGTAATCGGTGGCGATGGCAGTCCCTCGGCTATGTGCTGCTGTTGCTGCTGCTGCTGCTGGGAATGATTTGGGCGGTGCCTCGGCGCCCAGACTGCTGTTCGTCTCGTTCAGCTGTGTGCCGCCCACAGTGGGTCCTGGTCCACCGGCGGAACTGCTGCCCGAACTGGCGGAGCTGCTGGATCCGGCACTGGCCAGACCGCCACCCACATGATGGGCATGATGCTGCTGCATCAATTGGTGTGCCGATGCGGGTACATTCTGGACGAAATTATCAGCGGCCGCCGAGCTGGAGGCGGGTGAATGCCAATCCCCGGCCGCTGCCGCCGAGTGGAACATGTGATGGGAGTTGTAGTACATCTGATGGGCGGCGGCGGCATGATGGGCCGCATGCGAGGAGTCCACATCGCCCAGGAACTGATGATTCGGCGGCGTGTGATAGTTGGGCGTCCAGTTCCAGGGCTGGCCGGCGGCGGAGGCATAGGCCAGATTGGCGGCACTATGCTTTTGCGTGTAGGGCAGTGTATTGTAGTAGTGTGAAACCATTTTGGGGGGGACCTATGGGGGTCTCGTCTCTCGTCTCGTCTCTCAATTTGAGGTTAAACGCGATTGTTGATCTTGCTCTGAGCCGGCTATGATATTAGCTGCGCTCCAGCTGTATGCTTGATCCTTAATCCTTAAAGGTTTACCAAATGCTTTTTTGTTACTTTGTTGCTTCAAATGTAATTGCACATTTTCTCGGGTTTATTTGGGCGCATTCGTATTCCGTTAGCTTGCCACTTTGAGTCTCTCTTTTGCTGATCTTCTCTTTGCACTCTCTTTCACAAACACACGCACAGGCTAGACACACTCCTCCCGCACAGCTTGCAAGCTTGCAATTTACAGAACTTATCGATTTAAGTATTTTTCGTCTGCGTAAATGTTTGGTATTTTTTTGGTGCACTCACTTTCGCGCTAATATATCTTTTGGTTGTTTTTTTTCTTTGATTCTTTTGATTCTTCCGTTGCGTTGTTACGACGTGAAGCACGTTAAACGTACTGAAAACAGAAAGCAAAGCAAACGCAACTCAACTGATAAAAAAAAACCCCATGAAAAGGCAAGTCGTACCAACACCACCAAAGCAGCACTTCAGCCCACAGAACACACACACCGCACACTAGTTGTCTCGCTTGCTCACACGCACTCTGGCATAAGCTGGTTTCTTTTTTAACCCTCGTTTCCGTTGTGCATTCGAATTTCAAGATGGCTTATGTTTGGCGGCTGCAGCTGCTGTCTCGTTCTGGCGCTGTGATGGCCTGTTGGCAGGTAGACACGCCCCTTGCTGTTGGAAGGCAGGTAAAAGTGTGTAAGCCATGCCATGCCATGCCGAAAAAGGGGTTTGTTTTCTTTACCTTTTACTTTACAAGCCGCCTTCGATTTGTACTTTAATTGCAATTGCCGTTGGCTAATTAAGTAATTGCATGCCTTGTATTATGCAATTAGTGGCTATAAAATCATATTTCTACTACCATAACATAACCGGTGGGGAACTTCATTTATGCTATATGTTGTGTTTTATTTGACTTGAACAAACGTCTCGATTGAAAGGGATTTTCTATTCTTTTACCACTCCCCCAAGTGACAATCAATGCTTTACTATACAGATTTGAGAGTTTTATAGGCATATAGTGCGCCATATCTGTATGCATAGTACCATTGTATTATCGTATTTGATATGGGCTAGTGCCTGGCTTCATTGTCCAGATATTTGTTGTTTGCCAAGCAATTGTCGTTTACGATTACTATATGATTGTAGCGCTAATTGCCCTATAATTGTTATAGTTGGAGAACTGCCTATGGATCGGCTAGGATACTGACAAGGTGGCACCATTGTACTGTAGTCAGCAACTGAAGGGCTTCGATAAGAAGCTATTTATACTCGTCAAAATATAGGATAGCTATTGTACTTTTTCCCTGGGAATCGAAAAGGTTTTAATATAATTCAGTGGAGTGACTTAGGAGGAGCTTCTGAAGGTTTCCCAATGGTATAAACGTGAGCTTTGAAGCTAGCCGTAAAGAACTTTTAATATAAGAATAATTATACATTCAAATTTGTAATATCTCAATTTCAATTCTTAAACTCAAGCTCCAGCGCTCGAAATGTTCGCCTGGCCACTCCACTGCAGAAATATTTAATTAAAGAAGTTCCAGTGCCTTTAGATAACATCTTTTCAGCTTTTCTCATGCCTAATTTTACCGAATCTAGCTTATGTTGATTTTCTGTAAGTTTTTAAATTTATTTTAAGACATTTAGCTATTTTTGGGGATACTTTTTTCAATAACAGATATTCCGCGATATATTGATAAATAAAACCTCACACAGTTTTTGATCGACTTGCTTAGATATTCAATGATCCAGCTCAAAGGAAAACTAGTAAATTTGCTGATCCTGAATAAGTATATGTTAAATTAATCTATTTCATTCAGTTTAACTAACACCAGACATCCTCACAAACTAATAGATTGTAAAAACCGTTACAAAAACCACCGAGGCCCCTTTTTACCCCTAATATTTATTTGGTATTTCTCCGAAAAGTCAACTCCCTCGCTAATCCCAATTGTAATCCCAAAAACCAAAACACACAAGAATTGTTATCCCAAAAACCAAGGAGAGCTAAGCTCGCGTCGATTGAGTAATCCCAAGCGATTCCAGAAAATCGGGAAGCATCTCTATAAAAAATACATTCATTGATCAGTCAGGACCTCCGATCATAAAACTGCAAATGTCGCGTCAAATAATTAGAAATGAATACAGCTGTGACAATGGAACTAAGCATAGGCTATGGTCAGGAGCAGCAGGACCAGGAGCAAAAACAACAGAGTGCAGCAGCGACAGCCGTTGGCCTCGCGAGGGAGGTACTTAAAATTCACTTATTAACGCTGGCGAGGGAGAGAGAGTGTTCTAGCAGAAACTGGTTCGGTTCGAGGATTGTGATCGTGTCCAAACAAAAAACCCCTTAATGCCCGAAAGACAAAACATTGTAAAACAATTGAAAGGAAAGGGCCACGGGTAACAAACACACAGTTTTATGATTGCGCGAACGCGACCTAGAGCAGGAGAATATGATCGTAACGGTTTCGGGGACACCAAACAAGGCTTATAGAGGGGCTGGGTTGGGTTGGGATCACATCTGATCGGTCAGGGCCTGAGATCATAAAGTTCACACAACAATTAGGCAGCCACAGCCCAGATTTTTGCTTCGTTTTTTTCGCAAATCGTCAAAAATTCAAAGGAATTTACTGCGTGGGCAGGGCCAGGGAACGGCAACGGCAACGAATACATAGGTGCCTGGTTCCGTGAGGTTGAGGTTCAGATCGGTTTCGTTTGGGTTCTCTCAGGCACGGGCAAGTCATGTAACATGGTAGAAGGTTACCTGGAAGTCATTAGGGGCTTACAAAGGCTAATCCGAAAGGGAGGTATGTAAACATATGCCGTAAACATATAGAATGAATCCAGTTGAAATGAATCAAATGTTTCGTAAGATCTTCAAAATGAAAAAGCATCATGTACATACACGTAAATAAGTATTTATTAGTTTATCTATTTATTATATGTGGAGGTACTATGTATGTGAGTTGATTATGATCTTTAAAAAATCTCTGCCCAAAATTTAATTAAGACCAACCCATGATAAAGTAACTAAAATTTGTTTGTTCATTTTTAAGGCTTTCAATCTACATCTTCGTTATCAACAGAGTATTATTAAGATCTCAAGGAAGGTCTAGGTCCAGCTATGTATTCTCACACGTATTTCAACAAGCACCAACATATTAATCAGAAATTCCCACAAGATTCCTGAAATGGTATTCAATTTTTAAACTCTTTTTAATACCTCTATAATTCTGACCAAACATACGCTAACCAACTAGGTTATAATTTCATCATAGAAAATGAGATCTATTCATCTGACTTCCTATTTATTCATTAATATTTTCATTCTATTCTTATATCCCATCTGAACTGAGGTACAAATATCAGCTAAACATATGTGAAAGTCAGTTATGACTGAGCCAATGGTTTCTTACAAACTCTAAGATGATTCTAAGAATGCTTAAAACGTGATTAAAACGAAGCAATTTCCTTCACAGTTTACTACAAAAATTGAATAAATCATTAGAAAAATCTACGGCATACCAGCATTCAAAATTTATAGTTTCTGACCAGTCAAAGGACTCATTAAAATATTAATACATCAATGCATTATTAAACATCCAATAATAAGTCATCCTTCTTTCATATCAACTTGCTATGAATCAACAATATTTGGTAATGCAGCTCCATCAATCTATTGATCTATCCTCTTACCGATCCTGAGTGAAGTGAAGCCACACTCAACCCATCTCCGCTTCCATAAAAGCTTATCTATGATCTCTAAAACACTCTAATGCATCTCTATCCAATCATCATAAATTAGAATCTGTCCCAGAGAGGACATAAACAGATTGTAAAGAACTTCAGAAAAAATATTTATATATTTTTCTTCAATTATCTTAATAAATCCATAAAGAAAGCAAAGCAAGCGCCATGTCCCATAAGCCCATAAAGCAGACTCCAAAATAAAACTCGAGAGGCAATCAGTTCCCCGGGCCTCATCCAGATATGCCCAGAGAGCCAACAATCGACACATAGCTAACCCCAGATACATATGTATGTATGTATTAAAACGAATATACATATGTATAACGTACGAGTGTAACGTATTTACCGTCGCCAGACTATGAACGATGACAGATGGAATGGCTTTGTCGTGCGGCATTTGCTGTTTGCTGTTTGTCGGTTCGTTTAACGTTTTGGAGAGTTTTATGGCCATTGGCCCCGAACCAACCCCATGTCCACACTCCTTCCATCTCACATACGAGCCCCAGACCGCCCCTCCCACCACGGGCAAGTGCATTTTGTGCGTTGTACGAGGTAATCGTACTACCTCCAGCACCTCAACAGAGCTTTATGGGTGCCGCGACATTAGCGATAAAATATCTTTGTTAATAAAACAAATTAAAACGAATAAGAACAAAACGCGACGAAATACAATTGCGAGGAAAACCCCAAAAGTATTTTTAGATTTCGAAATTATAGCCAATAGAATGAAAGTTTCCGCGATAATAGTTGCAGACATTTAATCAAACATTAAAAATTCTTCGCGGCATATTTTTGATTTTGGTAAAATATATTTGTTTATTTTTCAAAATGTATTTCTACGATTATCCATTGTCACAAAAAATATATGTAGGCATAAATTAACAAATTGTTAAATGTAGCGCGAAAGGTAAAAGTAAACACGATTTAAAAAGTTTCACTTACAAACAAATTAAATACAAAAGGAATTTCAATTCATTTAGATATCATCTCACATCGAGTGCCTCGAAAACGATGTGCACAACAAAATGATTGGGGGTACAGTGCCACAGCAGAACATCAGGAAACGCGTGTGTATAAAAAACCACAAAATAAGATCGTTAGTTGTTAGTTTTCCCCGACTGGTTTCTAGCCTAAGAACAGGCAACATATACCGATTTAACAGTTTCAGTAGTAAAAGCGTATAAAATATATAATTCTTTTGTCGTTTTGGGGATAGCCCATAGTTGGTTTGGTGTTGATTTAAGGCATTGCTGATTTGTGAACTAGAATGGGGGATAACATTACTTAAGAAAGTTGAGTACAATTTTAGGATGCAGTCTTATACAAGGTTATCATTTGTGATTTGGAAGCTATCTGATTTAATAAAGTAAATAACATTTTTTTATGACTTTGAAACTAATATGGCTGACCATTTAATTTAAATAAATTAATAGTTCATTTTTGTTTTTACTTTTGACTAATTCGTACATGAAATTACATACAAATGTATATTAAAAGAAAAAAAAAACTAATTTAAAACTGATAAAAAATACGATAAAAAAGAAAAACTATAAAAACTAAAGTTCCTTCTAGATTGACAAATATGGAAGCCAAAAGAGTTTAATACACACAATGTGCTACGAAAATGCGTTCAACGTTTTAAAGATTAAATGGAGAACATGGACTTAAGTTATTTAATTCAATATTATTTACATATCATAATAAGGTGTGAATAAAAAGAGACTACATTTACGTTATAGACACAATTTAAAACATAGCATTAGGCTTGTTCCAAAAGTAGTGAAAAGACAGTCTTAAAAAGGTTTTAGATTCGTTTTAGAAATTACAAAGCAAAAAGTCCTTTTCGATCACATATCAAACAACAATTTAAGATTCTTCTGGAATACTTCTTTTCATTTCAGTTGCAAATCTCTAAATATAACAGGCAATAGTATAAAGTATAATCCTTGCATAAGACCTTAGTTTAATGTAGAACAAATGTTTCCATTTTGTGACTTGAAAGTTTTTCAGCAATGCATCAATCACATAATTTGAATCGAATCACCAACGAGAACTAACGCCCAGTTCATTTAGTACTTTGCGGCTTTGTTAAGATAGATTTCTTAGCATTAGCTAAAAATCCCCCGTACACATGCCAATCGAATTGATATGTACACAAGGCTGCACAGATGCAGATACCCGGATACGGATGTATCATGTACATAGCTAATGTCCTACGCCCTTAGATCGCTACAGATGTCTATTTATATATGTACAGAGGAGGAGTAGGTGGAGGGGGGAATTGCTTGTGTGTCTGTGTCCAAACTACGCCGAGCCGAGCACCTCATTCAATATCATCTCGCGGGTCATTAGCTGGCCATTATTCACACGCGTCCGGGATCGACTGCGACTGAGTTGTGCCCGCCGCTCGGCCCCCGCGGGTCGTTGTCTGCGCGCCTGTCTATTCCGCTGGCCAAAGGCCGATCCCGTTTGCAACGCCTCCAGCAGGCTATCCATGACGCCCTCCTGCGCCTGGGCCGCATCCATATCGACCAGGGCACGCTTCTGCTGTTGTCGCGCCATTTGTTCGCGCGCCGACTGTTCGCGAGCCTCCTGCATGCGCTGCTTCTTCTCCAGCTCCTCGCGTGCGCGCACATTATCGTTGTGGGCCGACTTGAAGGCATCCTTGAAGGTCTTGATATCGGCAAAGAATTCCTCCATGTTGTATTTGCTGGGATCAAAGGCATAGTACTCGCTCAGGTCTTTGTACAGCTTTTCCATTTGCAGTTGCATTTTGCCTGAAAGAAAAAAGAAATTCTATAATTTTGGCTGAAGTTATGGGCTGGCATCGCACGACATACCCAAAACATCGACTTGCTGTCTGCATTCCTCGGCAAATTTGCCCATCACCTCACTGAACTTGTCATCGTCGCATTGCGGCACCTTGTTGTTCTGCAAATCCGTTTCCAGATTCTTGACCGCCGAATTCATTTGCCTCATTGCCTTCTGTATGGCATCCATATTCACACGCGACGCCCTGTCCACATGCGACAGATCATTGTAAAAGTTGAGGGCATCGGGGAATTTCTTCTCCACAAGATCGGCCAAATAATGGAGCAGCGTCTGCTTGTTATCCGCATCCTTGGTGTTGGTTAGTTTGGTCAGGTAGCTGATCTCAAAGCCAAAGGCAGCTTCGTTCTTTGAGCCCGAGTTCATGTAGTTGCCCAGCAGGAGAATCAGCTCCAGTATTTTGGAGAACTTTTTGCTGTTGCGCACCTCCTCGCAGGCTGCTGTACCGGCCACAATATCGGGTTTGATATCCGTCACCATGTCCGCGTAGGTCAGCTTAAGTTGAGGTTGTGCAGGCGCGGCGACAGGCGTTTGATTTCACCTAAGAAATGCAAAAGAATTTCAGTTTTAGTTGGTTTTGTTCTTCTTCTCCATAGTGGATCCTCTTACCTATAGTTGCTGCAAACTGTTCAATGGCCGGCAGTGGTTCTCCCTTTGTCTTGATCTCCTGCAAACGCTTGAGCTGCTCGGGCGGCGGCAGATACTGAATCAATTGCTGTAATATATTGGACGAGAGTATGGCCGTATCGCAGCGCAGCAGACAGATTTTGATCTGCTCATATGACAAATGCTTGAGGGAGCCACCCAATAGGATGGATAAATTCTGGGCAGACTTGGAGTCGAGCACGCGCAGATCGACTGTCTTTTTGGTCAGTGTTGTTGGCTTGTCCACCGCATCCTTTTGCTCTTTTTTCACGGGCTTTGAGGAGAATTTCATGGCCAGTTCCGCGAGGAAATCATCTTGGGCTAGCTTATCCTCCTGACACTCGACCCAGAACGCCTTGGCGGACATCTTGGCCGGCACAATGGCCTTCCAGTTGGCCCGCTTCATGGGATTCTTCACATCCCACTTTTTCTTGGGCTTCATGCCATGCGGCAGGACTGGCACCATGGGTCCCATCATCATGGGTGGCGGCGGCGGTCCTCCGGGTCGCATCATGCCAGGCATCATTGGCGGTGGTGGTGGACCACCACCCATGCCGGGCATGGGCGGAGGTGGCGGCGGTCTGGGTCCTCCCATGCCTGGCATTGGCGGTGGTGGCGGCGGGCCACCCGCTTGACCCGGCATAGGCGGCGGCGGCGGTGGTGGTGCGGCTCCTCCGCCCGGTGGTGGCGGTGCCATGGGTATATTAACCTTCGGCAGCTTATTGGGCGATGGAGCGGCCACACCATTGGCCTCCATCAGTTTCACCTTCTCCTCGAGATGAGCGGCCTTGGCCTCCGCCTCCTGCTTGGCGCTCTCCAGCTCCTCGATCTTCTTCTCGTACTCCTCGGAGCGTTTCGACTCCTTGGCCTTGGCCTTCTCCACAATATCGTCCAGCAGCAGCGAGGTGTCAATGTTAAAGTCGCGATTGGCAAAGTTCGGATCACAGTAGCCCTTGTGGAAGACAATCTGCGAGATGCACTCCTCAATCAGTTGATAGTAGGCGGGCCGGAAGTAAAAGTCGTCGCGTATATACAGCAAGTGCTGCAGTATGGACAGGAAGTACGGCTCCGAATTGGTGTCCGTGATGAGGTTCTTTAGCACATCGAAACAGTCCTGGGCATCGTCCATGTTGAAGGTGACATTGTCGAAGCGTTGCACAAACTCCTCAAAGTCATCCTCGCGTATCTCGTTGAAGATCTTAAAGTGCTGCTGCAGCGCCTCATTGTTGCTGGTCTCCACGATTTTCTTGAACTCATCGAGACGATCGTACAGCCCCATACGCATAATCTCGCACCTCAGATGCAGCCGAAAGTTTAGATCCGTGGGCGTGTTTGTCAGCGTATTGATAAAGATGAGACTGTGGCAGGCCAGCTCTCGCTTGGGATCCTGTTTGTCCGATGCAAATAGAGCATCCACAATCGGTCGAAAGCGTTCGCTGGACTTGTACGATGTGGCCGCTATCGTGGTGATGGCTCTGAGCACCTTCTCGTACCCATTGCGCTCGTAGACAATGCAAAAGGAGGCCAGTAGCTTGAGGGCCTCGCACATGGTCTGCGGCTTCCGCGGGATCCAGAGATTGGGCCAACAGCAGCACCACACTGTGCTGATCCGGCACGAGCACCACATTGAGTCCCCACGTGTTGTTCATGATCGCCTTGAGGCATCGTATCGCCTCGAATTCGATGCGATCGTAGGTGCGATCCTTCTTGGCCCGCGACAGCAGCTGTTCAATCTGGCCGATGCCCGCCTCCCCAAACTCCTTGATCCACGAGATGGGATTGCTGGTGAGGGCCACGCGCAACGATTCCACGCACTGGTAAACCTTATGCTCGCTGTGCTCGCCATTCTGCAGATATTCCACGTAGTCGATGGGCTTCTCGAAGCGGGAGCGCGTATTCCGCTCCAGTGAGTTTTTGCCTGGTTGAATGAAGATACAAGATACAGATACACAGATATTAGATTACTGTGGCTTTAAAAAAAAGATAGAGTGGACTGCATATCTTATCAAATAATGCACGTAATTAAATCCCATTAACACGCAATGGATGATTAATCGAATGACCTCATACTTTCACACACTTGTTAGCCGTATCATAGCTGATTCGATAAGAGTACATCTGATGTTTTATGGATACTATACGTGTGCATAGGTAAAGCAATTAATCTGTGATGCACAACACATTTGGGCTTAGATTTGAGCTTAGAATAAATTTATATTTGGTTTGAAAAAACCCTCTAGGGTTCTCTATACTTCCAATCTACTGCATTCCCCCAGTGCAAATGTATGTACTCGTATATTGTCATAATCAGAGGGTTCTACCCATATCTGACAATGGTGATTCATTCGACTTTATCTTTTGGGCCCACCTCTAGTGCATACGAAATTCTTTTTTAGTAGAATTCTGTGCGAGTAAAGTGGAAACTAGATAAAACGAACATCTAAATATATGCATTTTTGAATTTGGCAGTAGTCCAATAAAGCCAATTGCAAAAACCGTCGAGAAGCGATTAGCCGCATCATGCACACGACATGCATTTTTTTTCTTTTCTTTCTTGAGTATTATTTTTTTGCTTGTGCGTCTAGCTGGCGTAGGTTGTGGACGAATATTAGAATCATAATTGGAGTTCAACTTCTCTAGCTCTAAAATTCTTCTGCTTACATATCTTTTTTACATTTATATATTTCCATAACTCAAACTTGGAATTTTCCACGTTCAAGTTTTTTGAATAGCCCGTAAATTTTTTCATATACGTATACGCTAAATTCAATCATTCATTGATTCTTACAATAAATAGAAAGCTTTGTATCCACAGAAGCGCGAATTTGTTCATAATATTTCCATATGTAAACAACTTTAAACTGTTGAAATAGCTAGATTCCTATAGTATTTGTCACATCCGCTGCCTTATACCCATCAACTTTTAATGGTACAGAGTATAAGTCACTCTTTAGGACAGTTAATTATTTGATTTAGAGAACACTGAATAACGTACAATATAATTAGTATCCGTATTAGTAGTAGTTCCACTGTAGAACTTTATCGCAAAAAAAGCTTGTTGGGAAAATGAAACCTCGAATACAAGCTACAAATATCAGCCTTGAAGTGGGGACCTTCTCACCATACACCACACACCAGACCCACCCCAAACATTCTACTAAATATGCAATCGAAAAAAAACATTCAAATTTGGCCCCCGCACCACAGCAAACAACACACAGTCTTGATACGGTTAGAAGTAGCCATCAGAGAGGCCTTAAAGTACTTGGTACTTGGTACTCGGTACACGTCCACTAACTGTTGTATTAATTAATTCTGAAAAAGCCAAACGAAGCGTGTTAATGAACGGCTGTTCCAGCTGTTTGTTGGCCATCATGATCATCATTCAGTCAAACCGTTGGTTAAGCTTTCAGTTCATTTCGCAAACAAGTGGCAGAGTCAGAGGCAGAGGCAGGTGGCAGTACGTGGCGGGGGGTATGGTTCTGCCACAATAAACACGACCCATAAAGAAAAAGTTTACTTTATATTCGGTTATTTATTGTTTACTTGAATATTCCCGCAACCAGCGTGTTGATGGAATGGACCACCCACCCCCCACCACACTCCACACTTTATATAGATGCTCGGCCCAACTTCCAGTAAAGTCAGGTGGATATTGGCATCATCATCATTATTTATTTTCAGCCGATTTTGTCATAATTCATACAACGTTTTTATTTACGAGTATTTTTGCATTTTTATGAAGTAAAAATTCTACATTTAAATTGCATTTTCCGACTATTAGATAGATACCCTCTATTCTTAATTTTATAGAAGTCTAGAAAAACACCTACTAATTTGAGGGGAAAAGAGATGATAGTACTGCCAAATAGATTTTTTTGTTCCTTTAATGAACATTTTCCATAATCTTAATATCGATGGAGTGGTGAATAATTTCTGTCTTCTGCGGCCTAGCATTAATCTTTAATATTGTGTATACCACAGATCTTTTTTCGGTATCTTCGGAAGCGGAAGTTGTGGTGTGAAGCATATAAAACAACTTTGGATGCATTCTTCTGCGAAACGAATGCAATATACCCTCCCACTGCACAAGTACCGGGTATAAGCAGAGTGCAAATTCACAGAGTAGAAAAGAGCGCAAAGCTTTCTCTCATGTGCGGGGTTTACCTTGTTCTGGTCTCTCTATTTTGGATGCACTTGCTCATGCCAGTGCGAGTATATCAACAACAGCACCCATGGAGAGCACAACAACAGCAGCGGCAGCAGCAGCAGCGTATATGCAACACATTCACGCGCTGACACTTGACGTAATTAAAATTGTATAATATGCATGGGTAAAAATTCAATTTTCAATGTCTTTGTATACTCAAAATATTTATTTTTTCATACGACTTTATGTCACGCATTCGCTCGTACTTATACGAGAATATAAGTACGACTATATATAGTATAATATTTGATAAAAGCAAAAGAGAGCGTCGAAAAACGAATGAGTAGAAGAAGTATGTACAGTACAGTCAAGGTTAGCGCACAAGTAACCGTTACAAACGATAAGAGAGAAACTTTTGATTGCGTTTGAGACTCTAACCTGATAATGGACCATGAGCCATGGGCACAGGGGCAATTAACTGGAGCGAGACGAGACGAGAAGATTCCTCAGTTAATGTTGGCATTGAGAACATATTTTCAAGATACGAAAAGAGTTCGTTACAGTGATAATTGCTTGTAGTTTACACATAATTGTGCTGGCTCAAAGCCAATGGGGAAAGCTGATGAAGGAAATTGCAGATCAAAATTGATTAAAAGGAATTGTTTAAAGGAAAACCTAGTTTACGGAATTAAACCTTTAGATACTCTTTGAGAAAAATTGTTACTATAGGTCTTTTTTGAATTTCAATTCAATTTCAATTTTTAAATAAATTTAGACCATTTTAGACTTTTATCCTTGCTCCAAACTGCTTCGTTGCTCCTATTCCTCCCATCCCAATTAAAGAAACAATATAAATATCGTGTGCATAATTGCTGCTCACCTCCCTATGGCATCTTCATACATATATGATATATTGTTGTGTGTCTAGCAGATCTGTCCTTTATACTGCCTTCATCAAAAAGTCAAAATCTGTGCCAACTTGTAGCGGGATATTTTTAAAACTGTGAGATTATTTTGTATAGAAATAATGTGCAACATTTGCAATATTTTCATGCATTACTCTAGCAGATCGTTGACATCATATTCATCATAAAGTCCCTAAATAGCGGTATCTGGTGTAAAGACAAATATAACTGGAAACAAGTACGAAGCAAATTGGCAAATAAAACAAAGGAGAAACAAACAGATAACAGAGACAAAAGAGAAATTTCACGAGAATCGGACACACTGCATACAAACACGCACTCTGATAACCACACGTATACCCGTAGAGACCCCCGTAGACCACCGTAGTTACCGTTACCACTAGGTCTTTGGTTAATCTTATCAGAACGGAATGCAATAAACTTGCAAACACACACAACACAAGGGAAAAGGCAAAAGAGAAAGGGAGGGTGATTTGAAAAGTCGATTCGTTTACCTTTTAGGTGCCAGAGTATCATCTTTTGACGCTCCTCCTTGGACTTGGCCAGCAGCGGTTCCCGTTTGTCCTTGGGTATATTCATATCCTCGATGATTTCCAAAAATTGCGCATCCACCTGAGCCTCGCTCAGCTCCTGAATGTACAGCTCCACATCTTCGACGCCACCCAGCACGCCGCCCTCATTGTCCAGAGAGGTGGGCCGTCCGCCGTGAGTCAGAGTGCCGCTGTTGAAGCTATTTCCTTTCGATTTGGATGGTCGTCCGAACAGGCTCTCCAGTATGCTACCGCCTGTGGACTTTGTCTTCTCATGACGAGACATTCTAGAATTATTAAATGGGATTAATTAATTAATAATTAATTTTTTTATGGAAAAAACCTATGCAGACCCGAGCTTCTTTAGACGCATTTTGCCAACGAATGGATTTTATATTGTTTTTGGGACATGCGCAGCTCTTAACAGCTGGTCTTTGTTTACAGTTACAGAGAGACACAGAGACAGAGAGAACTGAATTTGTCGAGCTGCAGAAAGCGATTGATGATGGGTTTTGTCTGACGAATGCAATCGATGATGGAATGGGGGTGATGTGTGCTACGGTCGATGGTGGTAAGTAGGGGAAGGGGGGAATGGAATCATTATCAGCTTGTGGTTTATTTTCAATTATCTGGGCCCCCACACCCCCTCACCTCATCTTCGATCTCTGGAACATCTCGCAGCTTAGTGTGGAATTTTCAATTAGCATGTAAATAATGAGAGGGAGTGATGGGACCCAGAGAGCACATGCTCTGGCATATGCGGTGGCTCATTCGAAGCGTGAAAACTGCTGATTAAAAACATAAACAAAACACACACTCGAAAATAAACCAAACCAATTAGATAAATACATGCATTAATAATCGCGCAAACTAATTTTACAAAATGATGTGATGATGATAATCGTGTCGAACCAAAATAGGAAATTTCAACCAGAGAGAGTGCAGTAGATTGATATTGCAACTAAAGGATACCCTCTGATTTTATTATATGCTAGAAATGGATGATCCAAACGTGATTTAAAAGGTGTGAAAAATTACGTCAAGACTCTTTATATTAGAGTAAGATATTTGCCTGCACATCATTATTAAAATGTATCTCAATACAGATACAAAATCTATACAGAAAATGCTAAATCTACACACAACTAATATACCCTTTTCCTCTAAGAATACAGGGTACAGACTGTTTTAAGAGAGAGAAAAGAGAGAGAGAGGCCAAGCTGTCTGTCCGCTTGCCAGAGAGCGGTAAAAATGAATGTTTATGGCTGATATTCGTTTGAATGTGTGTGTGCATGGCATTTGTGTGAATCATGTGGTTAGACAAAAATGTAATCCGTTAAGATTTGAAGTGGCCTCCATTCGCGAGGATCGCCTGGGAACGAACGCTCAGACAACGCATCCATCTAATGAATCACTAATGGAATCACATCATCGGCCCCAGAGTTTGCCGCTGAAGTAGAAGTCGATGTCGATGTAGCAGAAAAAGGCAGACGAGCAACAGGTTTTGCGGATTCCACTTTTTATACCCTAGAATCGGAGATGTTATGATTTTGATCATTAGTTGGCACAGGCACTGGCAGAACCGAAATGGGTATATAGAGCTGCTTTGGTTCCCGTTCTCGTTCCAGAGTTCCATTTCTGATGAGAGTGTTTTATGGGCGTGCAAAACGTCCGCAAATCATTTACAATTGTCAAGCCGAAATCACTTTTAATGCCAATGTGAACGATGTGCTTGACAAAGTGTGACTGTGTGTGTGTGCGAGAGTGTGGGAAGACAACAAGCCAGCCACTCGAGCGACCACGTCGAGTGGGGGCATAGTGGAGCGACAAGTTCATGCCAGGGCATAGCAAAGCAAAGCACAATTTCTTTTCATGTCTAAGCATGTGTGGAGGAAATGCTTTCAACAAGATTTCTTTTGCTTAAGAATTTTACCGAGCCGGTCGGCTGTTGCAATTGCCTCTTGCCCTGCAGAGAGAGCGGGGTGGTTGTGTCTGTGGAATCTCTTTCTCTATTTTGTTTACACGGTTGCACTTTCTGCATTGGTGTGTGTGTGTGTGTGTGAATAGTTCAGAGGCCTCTGCAGCAACCACAAGACAAAACTACAAGAAATCCGTTTGTTTTGATACACTAGCAGATGCATCGTTGCTATGGTAACTACCTGCTTGATCCGATCTTGCCAGTTTCGATTTACATACACCATAAGGCAGCGAAGCATAGAGCAGCCGAACAGACAGACCGACGGGCATCGAACCCACTTCTGATCAAAAATCAAATTCACCATCAAAATGGTAATACCCTGTTATACCCTAACATTAGACGAAATGTAAACAAGCCCTAGCCACGAGAAAAGGAGATTGTTTCCCATTCCAAAATTGAAACGGGCCCGGCATTGCCTGGAAATTCCAAGAAAGAGCCAGTTCAAATAAGAGTTTACAAACCAAGAATTCAAATATGCGCTCACCTTCGTTTTATATATATATTTATATCTGTGTCGCCTGCTGCTCACTTTTGATTTTTTTCGGTGGTTTACGTCATAAGACAGAAAAATAATGGCTTGGCGCACACACACAAATAAACACAGCAACACACGCACACACAACTACAGTCACAATCAAACGGCTTCTGCCTGCTTTCTGTTTGTTTTATACGCGGCGACGCAGACGCCGACGTTGACGCTAAGCTGCGCAAACCGCTTCAAACACAAAAAACACACTTTTGCGTGGTAATTACTAGCCAACTTGTTGTACACCCAAAATATTTGGTGTATGCCAAGTGGTGTTTTCCTTTTCCTTTTGCTTTGCTTACTTTTTTATTGCTGGCTTTTACTTTGATCGCTGGGCCACACCACTTGTTGCTGTCTCGCCTTGGCTGACACATGAAATATACAACCAACTGTTGGCCGCTATGCGCAGTGCCGTATAATACAAACACAAACTTGGCGAATCGTTATAAACAACTTAACACGTAATTTGTTGGCCTCTACTATCTGCAGTTATGCGCAAAAATTCATAAAATGCAAGCGCCTTGTGTGACCGTAGTGTGACCGCGCCGATAACGATAAAAATACCAGGGAAAACTGGCTATCAGACGAGACATAACCCACTTAACACCCCTCTATTTAAAAAGTTGAGCACCCTTTGTTAAACCGCGGAAAATAATACTGTTTGTAAAGGGCTCCTTGTAGCCCAATCCTATCCTTACGAGTAAACCTGAGCTGCGTTAAAATATACAAGTTTTATAATGTTTGTGCGTGAATAAAATAATCATTGGTCGACAATGGGTTAATGGTATAATGCCATTGCTCAACACTACTAACCATACTGAATGGTTAGTGTCAACACTCACAGCTGTTTCCCTGAAACGACGGCGTTTTCGTTTAAATTTTTCTGCCCGCGCGGAAAGACAAATTTTTTGTCGTTTTCTCAAAAATTGGCAAATACAATGTAAACTTCAATCGAAATAACAGATTGTGAAGAAGAGGCGAATTTCGTGGATCGTCCAACGTTTGAGCCAAAAAGGTCCGAGAGTCCGCCGCCGCTGCAATTCGAAACCATTGCATTGGAAGATGAAGAATCGCGACGCGCTAAAATGCCCAAAGTATCAGATGAACCTCAACTGCAGCGAAATGTGGTGGACGCCATTTCCAATCTGATAGCTGGCCACGAAATGCAGGCGCTTATCAAGCGCATTGCCAAGGAGCGTGTGCGTTGTAACTTTCTGTTGGCCACCTATCAATTGCCGGATATGAATTTCGCGCTGAACACGCCGAGGAATACGCAGCGTTATCAATTTCGGGAGCGTCTTAGGCAGCGCAACGAGAAGAATTTGCCAAATGCAGCTACAACAACAACAACGACATCGCGCCCCACAGCACCGCCCACTGCCAATGCCAACGCCAACGCCAACAAAGGGACAACCAGCAAGGGAATCGTAAGAGCCAGACAGCCTCAGTCGTAGCCCATAGAAGTTTATTTAATTGTTACGTGTTGGGAGAATCGAATGTCAATAACTGAATCTGAATTAATATAGTCTTAAAATTCACCCCGTGTTTCATTCACATTGTAAATGAAGATTTAGCGCTTCGGCTAAAGAGTGTGTACACACCTTAAAAGAAAGATTCTTGAAATTTCCTTCGTGTGAGAATTCAAAGTTCCCGCCCTCTAGCACTGCAGCTGATAAACAGTCTTCTCTTGAAAATGCCACTACCAACTGCGAAGGAAACGGCCAACAAACACTAAGAGCATAACACGTAAGTGGGAATGGAAATGGAATGCTACGTCATTTGAAACACTCATTCAAATGGAGAGAGCAGGCTTCTTCTGAACTCTTATCACTGACATCGATATGGAAGGCTTGAGGAATATTTACGAACCCATTCAACTTAAAGATAGGTATGGGGAGGGGAGTGGTACGGTACCCACTGAGGTCCGGGTGGCGCGTATATAAGACCGATTCGAAGGCAGCAGAGGCAAGTGCTGGCATCAACATGAAGGTGTTCATTACTATTCTGGCTCTGGCCGTGGCTTCTGCCTCGGCCTTCGATGAGAAGGTTTTCATTAAGGACGTGCCCAAGGCGAGCAAGATCGAGGGACGCGTTACCAATGGCTATGCCGCTCCCGAGGGCAAGGCTCCGTACACCGTTGGACTTGGCTTCAGCGGCGGCTGGTGGTGCGGTGGCTCCATCATCGGACACGAATGGGTCCTGACTGCCGAGCACTGCATCGGAGATGCTGCCTCCGTGACCGTCTACTTCGGTGCCACTTGGCGTACCAACGCCCAGTACACCCACACCGTCGGCAACGGCAACTTCATCAAGCACCAGAACGCCGACATCGCTCTGATCCGCATCCCCCACGTCGACTTCTACCACATGGTGAACAAGGTCGAGCTGCCCAGCTACAACGATCGCTACAACAACTACAACGAGTGGTGGGCTGTGGCCTGCGGCTGGGGAGGCACCTATGACGGTAGCCCCCTGCCCGACTGGCTTCAGTGCGCCGATCTGCAGATCGTGCACAACGAGGAGTGCGGCTGGACCTACGGCTCCGTCGGCGACAACATCATCTGCACCAGGACCGTCGATGGCAAGTCGATCTGCGGCGGTGACTCCGGTGGCCCTCTGGTCACACACGACGGCAACAAACTGGTCGGTGTCAGCAACTTCGTCTCCAGCAACGGCTGCCAGTCGGGTGCTCCCGCTGGCTTCCAGCGTGTCACCTACCACTTGGACTGGATCCGTGACCACACTGGCATCTCCTACTAAGTCTCAATAAACGAACATTGAAAAAACATATAATCATTGTGCAGTAGAGTTTTTATACTTCAAAGTTTTATACAACAAAACGAATCTTAATTGCAAAATGTAAAAAATAGAAGACGGATTGATGCATCGACATGGATTTGACACCATTCCCAGTGCGATTGAGCTTGTGCCCTTTCTAGAAATAATTTTTTCTACATCGACCTCAAAATTGAATCTGAAAAAATTGGTAAGGCAACAACAAATAGTGAATTTAGTAATCGATGTCTCTTTTAAACATAAAAGAGGACTTTATAAGTGAGCTGGCACAAGGCCGTGGATATACCAGCAGTAAATCTTGAGCTTAACAGTGCAGCAATAAATAAGTCGACTTTTGCGGATCCCAGAGCACCTGAAAACAAAAAGTATGACCTTTGGGTGAAAAGTAAAACGCTAAGTGAAGGTGAGCACCGGAGCCCGCCTGATAGAGTTTTGACAACTGCACGTTCAGTGTGTTTCTAACAAAGTTTTATAAATCAACCAATTTATTAATATGGATAGAAAAGATTTGGGGTAAATTTCATGAATAGTTCTGAATGAATAAAAAGTTCAATTATGCGAATTAATTTGTTTGTAAAGATTATCATTTATTCTGCACGCCACGAAAACCATCATCGTCACCCATTACCACCTCATTGCAAAATGGCAGCACACAAATGTCTTATCTAATGATGAAATTGGCTAAAAGTATTATTTTAAAGTCACTCCCTTTTCGTTTCTGAATAGAAATTCAATTTCAATAATATTTCGAGATCTTTTCCGATTATCTTATCGTAGGAACTACATTCACTCACACAAAATGGCGCACTGTCAATGTCAATGGAGACAGCCCCAATGAATTGGCTGCAAATTCATCATATTAAGCACAATGTACTTACTTAATTTAATCATCTAAACACACGTAAATGATAAACAGTTACTGTCTACACACCAGTCAAAGATTAAATTGGAAATTCATTCATTCATTCAAGAGATCATTGTAAATTAAAGGAAACGTGTGAAGCCTTGATTAGATACGGTGCTCTGGTCTGTAAGCGAACTCGAGCTATAAATTTTGATAATTCGATTCAAAACAAACTGTCAAACGTGCCAATATGTCCATCTTGTGAACATCCGCTTTAGTATGGCTATTTTTGTACGGGTTGAAAAAAGGCTGAAAAATATATTCGTGAACAGCATGAACAAAGGGAATCGATCCTTTCATAAAAAACTAAAAACTAAAGCACTAACAAATTTAGAAAAGATGCTTCAGATTATACGACAATTGTTTGAATTAGTCCACACAACTTTCAATAAGTTTAGAAAATAATGCAGAGCTATATGGAAATCAGTTTACATTGGAAGTTTATTTTATTGGACCTTTTGCCGAACGCCCACACGAACATCACAGTGTTCGACATTTGCTGGAAGGACGTGCTCCCACATGTCGGCTTACATGCAGTTGTGTCCAGTGAAATAGTAGTACCGCACCTCAAAACATTCAAAATTCTTTTTGAGATATTTCTAGTCTTTTAAATTGAAGGTATCACCTTTACGGAAAGCCTGGATTGTACGCATTAGAAAATCGAAGAAACATCGTTACATTTGCATTCCATCTTTTTGTTTTTCATGACTTTAGACAACTACCCATGATATTTGCTGTTCAATAAAATAGTTGTGCTGGGTTAAATTAATTTTAAAAAATTAATTTAAATAAGTCACCACCCGTAAGATAAATTTAGATATCGAATAATTTGATGAAAGAAAGTTTTGGAAATAGCGGTACTTTGGATTTTGGAGCGTTGAGGAAATCATTGCTCGGTCCAGAAGAGGAGACCTAAAAGTTAGACTGAAAACTTAAGGAAGAAGGTATAATGGAATTAAAAACTAAGTTTGATGCACTCTCACTTTTGAATTTAACCCAATTAACTATAATAATTCGACTGAAAATCGATTTTGTATGCGAAAAAATTATTTTTTGGAGGATGGTCGGCGATGGTTAAAGGCAAGACCATTCCTTCAATATCCTTTAAAAACTATGAAACAAATTTTAAATTGCTCTGACAGTAATGTGACAGTTCGTACACGGTTGATTACACATTATTTGAATGCAAGAAGTCCTAGAAAGCTCCGCGTTTGGATCTGAGTGCACGACTTCAGTTTGGAAAAACGCCTGTGGAATGGCCTGTGTCACAGTGACAAAAATACTTTTACTGATGATAGTAAAGTTATATTATATGGTAAGAAAGACTCAAAAGAATATGTTTGGCATTCACAGAAATACTATTACCACCCAAAATGATGGGCATGGGCATGCTGGGCTGAGCCCTATGGGGCCCAGCTCAGTATGGTATGGTATTGATCAAAACTGTGTATGTAGGCATACTTAAGAATACATAACATTCATATTACAGCTGAAAAATTCCTGTTCAATTTGGATAGCTGGAAGTGTCTCAAAAAGAGTTTTGAAAGTGATGCGGTGCGGCACTAATATTTCATTGAACACAGCTGTATCCGTCGCTGAAGGACCAATTACATCTGCGCTGTTCTTCGAAGACGGCGCGACGCTTTGCTGAGATTCGTACGAGCTTTTGCATTGTGCTTTCCGTTTTTTTAATAAATCCCTTAAAATTATCTTATTTTCAAAATAAACGAGAAGGATCGTGTGAGTCGTTTCTGGGGACAAGACTCTACTTATACCCGTACTCAGTCAGTATATACAGCTTATGATTTTGTAGAATTTTGGAAAAAAAAAAAAATTTTACATTTTACATTTTTTTGCTACATCTGCTATCTACATCTACATATACAATGTCTATTCTACATCTAACATGTAGATTCTACGTGTTCCATTTAGATTCTACATCTCCTCCGCTAGGGGTTGCTCGCGCACTGAACGCGGCAGAGTGTGCGAGCGAGAAAGAGAATCAGTAGCGTCAGCAGCGCTGGTGAAGGAGAGGGAACCAACAGAAAATTCATTTCTTCATTCTGGCTATAATTATGATCCGATCTGATTCAGATTCGGCAATCTGGTAGATATGGGCAATTTCGACGATACTGCGCTTTCAGTTTAATCGTATCTTTAAAATTGTGGCTGCCACAGATTTTCGTCCTTTGTGGGGGCGGAAGGGGGCGGGGCGAAATTTTGAAATACACTTGTAGCAGTGTGATATCACATGAGTCTGGAAAACAAATTTGGTTGCCCTAGCTCTTATAGTCTCTGAGATCCAGGCGTCAAACAAGACGGACAGACGGACAGACGGTCAGACGGACAGACGGACAGACAGACATGGCTCTATCGACTCGGCTATTGATGCTGATCAAGAATATATATACTTTATGGGGTCGGAAACGTTTCCTTCTCTGCGTTACACACATCCACTTTTACCACAAATCTAATATACCCCTTAACTCTTTTTTGAGTACGGGTATAAATAGGGACTCCGACTCGCTAATTGTAAATATTCTAAAATGGATTTAACCTGTCTTCCACTTTGAATATGAATAAAATATTGAAGAAAAACTCTACTGCACAATGATTATGTGTTTTTTCAATGTTCGTTTATTGAGACTTAGTAGGAGATGCCAGTGTGGTCACGGATCCAGTCCAAGTGGTAGGTGACACGCTGGAAGCCAGCGGGAGCACCCGACTGGCAGCCGTTGCTGGAGACGAAGTTGCTGACACCGACCAGTTTGTTGCCGTCGTGTGTGACCAAAGGGCCACCGGAGTCACCGCCGCAGATCGACTTGCCATCGACGGTCCTGGTGCAGATGATGTTGTCGCCGACGGAGCCGTAGGTCCAGCCGCACTCCTCGTTGTGCACGATCTGCAGATCGGCGCACTGAAGCCAGTCGGGCAGGGGGCTACCGTCATAGGTGCCTCCCCAGCCGCAGGCCACAGCCCACCACTCGTTGTAGTTGTTGTAGCGATCGTTGTAGCTGGGCAGCTCGACCTTGTTCACCATGTGGTAGAAGTCGACGTGGGGGATGCGGATCAGAGCGATGTCGGCGTTCTGGTGCTTGATGAAGTTGCCGTTGCCGACGGTGTGGGTGTACTGGGCGTTGGTACGCCAAGTGGCACCGAAGTAGACGCGTCACGGAGGCAGCATCTCCGATGCAGTGCTCGGCAGTCAGGACCCATTCGTGTCCGATGATGGAGCCACCGCACCACCAGCCGCCGCTGAAGCCAAGTCCAACGGTGTACGGAGCCTTGCCCTCGGGAGCGGCATAGCCATTGGTAACGCGTCCCTCGATCTTGCTCGCCTTGGGCACGTCCTTGATGAAAACCTTCTCATCGAAGGCCGAGGCAGAAGCCACGGCCAGAGCCAGAATAGTAATGAACACCTTCATGTTGATGCCAGCACTTGCCTCTGCTGCCTTCGAATCGGTCTTATATACGCGCCACCCGGACCTCAGTGGGCACCGTACCTACTCCCTCCTATCTCTTTAAGTTGAATGGGTTCGTAAATATTCCTCAAGCCTTCCATATCGATGTCAGTGATAAGAGTTCAGAAGAAGCCTGCTCTCTCCATTTGAATGAGTTTGAAATGACGTAACATTTCCACTTACGTTACATTTCATTCCCACTTACGTGTTATGCTCTTAGTTTTTGTTGGCCGTTTCCTTCGCAGTTGGTAGTGGCATTTTCAAGAGCAGACTGTTTATCAGCTGCAGTGCTAGAGGGCGCGAACTTTGAATTCTCACACGAAGGAAATTTCAAGAAACTTTCTTTTAAGGTGTGTACACACTCTTTAGCCGAAGCGCTAAATCTTCATTTACAATGTGAATGAAACACGGGGTGAATTTTAAGACTATATTAGTTCAGTTATTGACATTCGATTTTCCCAACACGTAAAAATTAAATAAACTTCTATGGGCTACGACTGAGGCTGTCTGGCTCTTACGATTCCCTTGCTGGTTGTCCCTTTGTTGGCGTTGGCGTTGGCAGTGGCAGTGGGCGGTGCTGTGGGGCGCGATGTTGTTGTTGTTGTTGTAGCTGCATTTGGCAAATTCTTCTCGTTGCGCTGCCTAAGACGCTCCCGAAATTGATAACGCTGCGTATTCCTCGGCGTGTTCAGCGCGAAATTCATATCCGGCAATTGATAGGTGGCCAACAGAAAGTTACAACGCACACGCTCCTTGGCAATGCGCTTGATAAGCGCCTGCATTTCGTGGCCAGCTATCAGATTGGAAATGGCGTCCACCACATTTCGCTGCAGTTGAGGTTCATCTGTTACTTTTGCCATTTTTGCGCGTCGCGATTCTTCATCTTCCAATGCAATGGTTTCGAATTGTAGGTCTGCGGGACTCATGCGAAGGGTTTGATGCTGGCTCTTTCGAGACCTCTGACGTCCTGGCCCTTTGGCGTTGGATTTGTCGTTGATGTCTGCTCCTGTGCCAGGCGATGTGCCTGTTTTATCCGAGGACGATGGCGACGTCACAGATGCGTCCCTTTCCAAGTACGCCGGTGTCGCTTTCTTGGGAGTAATTTCATTTACTGAGTTTGCTTTTGATTCGCCTGATGGCGGCGGACTCTCGGAACATTTTGGCTCCAACGATGGACGATCCACGAAATTTGCCTCTTCATCAGAATCTGTTATTTCAATTGAATTGTACACTGAATTTGCCATTTTTGAGAAAACGACAAAACAATTTGTGTTTCCGCGCGGGCAGAAATATTGAAACGAAAATGCCGTCGTTTAAGGGAAACAGCTGTGAGTGTTGAGCAATGGCACTATACCATTAACCCATTGTCGACCAATGATTATTTCAATTCACGTACAAACATTATGAAACTTGTAAAATTTTAACTCAGTTCAGGAGAAAGATATCGAGGTCATTTTAGTTTGTAAGTAGAGAGGAAGGATAGGATGGATATGCAAGGAGAATTTACAAATTATTTTCCGCGGCTTAACGCAAGCTGTTCACCTGTTGAAATAAAGGGGGGTTAGTGGGCTAAGCTCTTCTTCTTTTCTCGATATATTTGGAAAATGAGAAGCGGCATATTTCTGAGAGTCACTATCCAGTGATTAAAATTAAATTAAAATTAAATTAAATCTAGTTGAATGGATCGAGAACGCGATTTCGACTCGAATGCCCGCAAGGGCAATCGTCCGCCCGGGCTGAAGGGCAAGGCACTTGGCATGTACTACCGGGACCTGGGTCGCCAGCGCGCAAAAGAACGTGAAAAACTGAATAAGGATGCAGGGAAAGCCGCCCGACGCCGAGGTGCCCAAAATCCGGCTGGGCTGCAGTGTCAATGTGCCCGGCGGAGTGCTGGAGCAAGTCAACAAGTTCATGCAGGACTTCAACAAGACGCCCAAGAAATCCCACTCGGACGTGGATGCGCAGTTCGAGCTGCAGTTTCGTCATCTGCTGAGCGTCAATTTCCACCAGTTCATTGCCGAGAAGAAGCAACAGAACGCGACTTTGAACTACATCAACCAGAATTTGGATACCAAATTGATGGAGCAGCACCGCGAGCGCCTGCAGTCATCCAGTATGCGCGAGCGTCTGAGCGCACGTGAACAGCTGCCCGCCATGAAGCATGCCGATGAGATTATACGCACCGTCCAGCAGAATCAAGTTATTCTGATCGTTGGCAGCACCGGCTGTGGCAAGACCACACAGGTCCCGCAACTGCTGCTCGACCACAGCATTGTAAAGGGCTGTGCCTCCGACTGTCGCATTGTGTGCACCCAGCCGCGTCGCATTTCGGCCATCACAATTGCCGAGCGTGTGAGCTACGAGCGTGGCGAGCCCCTCGGCCAGTCGACGGGCTATCAGATACGCCTGGAGAGCCGCAAGCCCAGAGATCGGGCCTCCATTACCTATTGCACCACGGGCGTGCTGCTGCAGCAGCTGCAGTCGGATCCGCTGATGCACAGCCTAAGTGTGCTCATTCTGGACGAGATACACGAGCGCAGCGTGGAGACAGACATGCTTATGGGTCTGCTGAAGGTCATTCTCCCCCATAGGCCCAACCTGAAAGTGATTCTGATGAGTGCCACCGTTCGGGAGCAGGATTTCTGTGATTACTTTGAGAACTGTCCCATGTTTCGCATTGATGGTGTCATGTTTCCCGTTCGCATGCTCTACCTGGAGGATGTTCTCTCCCTCACCAATTATCAGTTCGACAACCATAGGCCCGGAACAAACCGGAAACCCAAGCAGGATCGTAGGGAGACCCAAATGGCACACGAGGCCATGATTTTACCGTATGTGCGTCGCGTTCGTCACATGTACGATCGCAGGGTCCTCGACCAGTTGCGTCTGCCCGAATCGGAGGGCTGCGAGGACATTGATTTCATCGCCGATCTCGTGTACTACATCTGCGAGAACGAGCCAGAGGGTGCCATTCTGGTCTTTCTGCCCGGCTTCGACAAGATCTCCAAACTCAACAAAGCCCTGGAGAATCCTCAGGGTTCGGTCAAGGGCCAACGCTGGCGTCACAGTCTGGTGCTCTATCCGCTGCACTCCCTAATGCCCTCCGTCGAACAGCAGGCAGTGTTCCGTCGTCCGCCGGATGGCAAGCGCAAGGTCATTATGTCCACCATTATAGCCGAGACATCGGTGACCATTGACGATGTGGTGTATGTCATCAATTCGGGCCGCACCAAGGCCAGCAATTATGATATAGCCAGCAATATCCAGAGCCTGGATGAGGTGTGGGTGAGCAAAGCGAATACCCAGCAGCGCAAGGGTCGTGCGGGACGCGTGAGGCCGGGCATTTGCTACAATCTGTTCAGTCGGGCGAGGGAGGAGCAAATGGCCGATATACCCACACCGGACATACTGCGCTCCAAACTGGAGTCACTCATTTTGAGTCTGAAACTGTTGCACATTGATAATCCTTATGATTTTCTGGGCACCCTCATCAGTGCACCCGAACAGGAGGCCATCAAAAATGGTATCCTGCTGCTGATGCGGTAAGTCGGAAAATGAATTTTCGAGTCAAATGAAAATGTTAAAAATTGAATTTTTCAGCATTGGCGCCCTGGACAAGGACGGCATTCTCACACCGCTGGGCGTGCATCTGGCGAAGCTTCCCGTCGATCCGCAAATGGGCAAAATGATGCTCATGTCTGCCCTGTTCTGTTGCCTGGATCCCATCACCTCGGCGGCGGCGGCGCTCTCTTACAAATCGCCATTCTACACGCCGCTGGGGCAGGAGAGTCGTGTGGATCAGGTCAAGCGGCAGATGGCCCACAATATGCGCAGCGATCATCTGATGGTGCACAATACCCTTTGTGCGTATCGCAAGAGTCGCAATGGGGATCGCAATTTCTGCTATACGAACTATCTCAGCTACATGACGCTGCAGCAGCTGGAGCGCATGAAGAATCAGTTTGCGGAATTGCTGTGCAACTACAAGTAGGTCAAAAGGTGGTTTAATCGTACTTTATCCTTATACTAATGCTCTCTTCTTTGCAGGTTTCTTAGTTCACCCGGTTTGCTGGACAGATCGTCCAATATTAATTCGGACAAGATACCACTGCTGAGGGCAATCATTGGAGCGGGTCTCTATCCGAATATGGCATGCATGCGGTAAGGTCAAGAGCTCAATAGATGTCTATTTATAAAAGAAAAGAAAGCAAAGAAAAATCGAAATTGCTTTCACTTTATGATTCTTTACTTGGCTGTCTGTTTTTCTCTCATGTGACGTGTCTGCACAATATGGCTGGTCCGTTATTCTTGTCATTTTCCCCTATTCGACTGCTCGTAGTGGGTAGTGCTCGGCAGAGAGAGAGAGAGAGCGCGCGACCCTTGCTCAGAGAGAATAGCTCTTTGATGCGAACTGTACGCAAAACTGGACAATTACTAATCAAAATCCGATAATTTCTTATATTTTACCCAACAGCAAAGCCCGTCGCATACGAAATTCTGTGCGTGCCGTACATAACATGTCCACGGACGATGGCAAGCGTGTGAATTTCCATCCCTCGTCTGTGAACAGCGGCGAAAGCAGCTTCGAATCGGATTATTTTGTGTACTACCAGCGACAGAAATCCTCATCGCTTTATCTGCTGGATTCCACAATGGTCTTTCCCATGGCCCTCATTATATTCGGCGATGGCGTGGAGGCTGGTGTCGCCGACAGAGTGCCCTATCTGTGCGTGGCCAATACATACTAGTGAGTGGGATGTCTTTATACATAAATGCATAATTTTAATGTTGATTGCTTTACAGTTTCAAATGCAATCCAGAGACAGCCAAAGTGGTGCTCGAACTTCGCACAAATCTGGGTAGATTGCTGCTCAAAAAGGCGCTCTACCCAGCCCCAATTGAGGAGAATGGCGAAGAGAAGCAACTGATCAAGTATGGCCTTAACTAACGACAAAGACTATACAACTATCAAGGTCTTGCATCGGGCAACAAAAAGATTTTCGGGGTTTCTGTGATGCTTCGTAGACACAATTTGAATTTGTTTCTGATGCAATATCTTGATATCGTATGGCCTTTGCCGAGGAACAGATGATTTTATATGCTGATTCCATTTATTCTTTTGCAGAGCTATCGAGTTGTTGCTTTCTTTGGACGAAAAGTTGGATCATGATTCGTTTTCGTCGGATGAAATTGATGATATCTGAACGTGAAAGAGGCTCATAGTATATGTGTAAACCAGGAGGACATTCTCATAGCATAATTTAATTCCATTTTATTGTATTTTTTTTTTTTTTTTTTTAAATAATCGAATGGTATATTACCAAAAAAATATATGCATGATCAGAAATAAATTATGTGTGTGTGTGTGTGTATATTCGGGGACTATTATTATTCGTCTTCAAGCAGGGCAAATACATTGCGCGAGCGAGGTGCCTCATCCTCTTCGATGGCGCACGAGTCTTCATCAGCATTGGTCTCATCGTTGGAGCTGTCCTCGTCATCGTCCTCGCTATCATCAGCAGCTAGAGAGAAGAGAAAGCGGAAATTTAAATAGGAATTAAGGATTGCTCAGTGAGACACTCACTGTCCGAGCAAACGGAGGAGGTATCGCCATTGGTCTCGCTCTCTGGCTCATCTTGCAGCTCCACTTGCTGGTACTTCTTGACCTCCGGCACATCGGGATGCTGCAGCCAGTGTTCGCGGCGCGCCTCATATCCAGGGGGATAGAACTGCAGCACCAGTTGCTGCTGTCCGGCCAGGCACATGCGCAGAATGTGATTGGCCGCCCGATAGCGATCCGGCCTGGCCGCCTTGGCTGTGAGAAAGCCTCGCTTGTAGGCCCAGGCATCGGAAATGGCCGCAGCCGACCACTCGTCATAGTCCTCGGGTAATTGAAGCCGCAACAATTGCGGCAGATTCACATGCTCGCCGAGAAACTTCAGAGAGCGATAGGGCACGGACAGCTGGGAGATGGGAAAACTGCCCAGCAGCACTTGCAGGCACTTTGGCGTGGTCGAGGGAAAGACTAGACCGGGACAGTCGCAGAGGCGTACGAGGGGCGTTAGAAATATAGTCTGAAAGTGTTTGGTATGTCCGGGCGTGCGACTAACGCTGACCACCTTGCGCCCCTTGAGGGCATTGATCAGCGAGGACTTGCCAACGTTGGGAAAGCCAATGCAGCCGATGGTAAGGACTCCACTGTGATATTTGACATGCTCGTGGGGCGTGGTGTCGATGCTGCTGCTGATTTTCAGTTCACCCTCCACAGCGGCCGCCACATCGTCCAGTATGTCCAGCTGATCACTGCGCATATCCTCGCGTATTTTCTGCTCCCAGGCGGACAGATCCACCTCCGACTGGACATAGCGCTGGCACTCGCGATAGATGTTGTAGACACCCTCCATGCTGCGTTTGTGCGCCTGCGGACCACGCTGGCAGCCCTTGCGAGAGCGTGGCAAGAACGAGGCAAACATCACAATCGGCAGCTGGGGATAGCGCTCCTGGAAGTACTCACGCCAGGCCACAACCACCTGCGGTTCGACCAGATCCACCTTATTGAACACCACAATGGCATGCTTCTTGAGTGTCTTGATGATGTAGTCGTACAGGGAGGGTGGGAACATGAGCGTGGCATACCGCACATCCACAATGATTAGGAGTATGTCTGAGAATTCGAGCACACGCCAGAGCTGACGCCACGTTTCCAGATTCAGTTCGAACAGGGAGAGTTCCTTGGTGTCGCCGCTGCGTTGTTTCCTTTGCAGCTCATCCACATAGTCCTGGGAAGGAGATTCTCCATTAGCTGACGCACACATGTGCATGCCGTGTACCATGACCTACCTTAAAGTAACGATTCTCACAGCGGTCCAGCTGTTCTTTGGTGCTTGACAAACTCCAGGGCGGACGCACGGGAAAGCCACAGCCGGCAAAGTAGCGCTCATCGATTTCGCGCTCCTTGGCACTGAGCGCTTGCAGTGGCTTGAAACCCTCCAGCTTTAGCTGCTCCAGCTCCTTCTTGCCCTCCTGGTAGAACTGTAAGTTGTAACGATTCACATTCTTGTTGCGATTGCCACCGCGAGCAAGGGCTGCTCCATGAGCTTGCGCGTCGTTTCGGGCACATCGCTGTCCTCGTAGGACTCCTGGGCAGTACGTAAATACTTGGGCGGACCTGTCGGCAAATGCCATTGTTAGCATTGGTGGTGTGGCTCGTGGGATTTGATTTGATTTCTTTCTTCTCCCCCAGAAGTTCGAGGTGGGCACGTACCTTTTGTGTTGCGTTTTTGCAGCATCTGATCCTTCTTCTTCTTTCCACTAAAGGCTACCTTGCGTCTCTGCTGTGGCATTGCGGAATGTTAATTTCGTTTACTGTATCTCTCTAATTTTCATTAATTTAATTGTGATTAAATGTTTTTGCGGCTTCTCTTTTACGCCGACATTCCGTTGATGGGACGGTCCAGGGCTGCCAGGCTGTTCGAAAGCTCCGAAAAAACGGCAGTGCCAAACCAGTGATGGCAGACTCTAGCTTTTACTTGAAATTTAAACAAAAAAAAGCAGAACAACATAAACAAGAATCTAAAATATTTATTAATACTGATTTAGGTACAGTAGCAACTAAGTTAAAGCAAGAACCCATTAACTTTGAGCTTATAATTAAAATTGGATAAGATTAAAAAAAAGCCAAGCTGACAGCACTATTGAAATGGCGTCCAAAGTGCAATTAAGCGTTCTTACTAGTACTTGTACTACCAACAGACTTGTAGCCTCTGAAATATGCCGCTGAAAGGCATCAAAGTATTGGAGTTCGTTGGCCTGGCCCCTGGTCCACTGTGCGGCAAAATCCTGACCGATTTTGGAGCCTCCGTCACCCGCATTGACAAGGTAAGCAAACCAATTCGATCTTTCGTCTTTTGTACAACTTTACTTTAACTTAAAGATCCTCGACAATCCGTTGGACGTACTGCAGCATGGCAAGCGCACAATGTGCGTTAATGTGAAAGATCCACTGGGCCAGCAGTTGGTGCGTCGCCTGGCCAGGAAATGTGATGTACTCATCGAACCCTTTCGACCTGGCGTCATGGAGAGACTTCATTTGGGTCCTGCCGAATTGTGTGCAGAGAATCCTCGCTTGATCTATGCCCGACTAACGGGATTTGGCCAGCAGGGACGTCTGGCCGCACGTGCTGGTCACGATCTCAACTATGCAGCCATTTCGGGCGTCCTGTCCATGCTGGGCCGCAGACACGAGAAACCCACGGCTCCGATTAATCTATTGGCTGACTTTGCGGGCGGCAGTGTAATGTGTGCCCTGGGCATTTGCCTGGCCCTGCTGGAGCGACACAATTCCGGGCGTGGCCAGGTCGTAGATGCGTCCATGGTCGAAGGTGCTGCCTATGTGGCCAGCTGGTTGTTCTTGGCCCGGGACCTACACATTTGGGGTAAGCAGCGTGGCGACAACATCCTCGATGGCGGGGCTTATTTCTACGATACCTACGAAACAAAAGACGGCCTCTACATGTCTGTGGGCGCCCTGGAGCCGCAGTTCTTTGAGCTCCTCAGACAGCGACTGCAACTGCCCGAGGATCTGCCTCAGTTCGGAGACGAGCATCAAGAGCGGGGCAGGCGGCTGCTAACAGAAGCATTCCTCACAAAAACTCAAGCGGAATGGTCGGAGATATTCGAAGATGTGGATGCTTGCGTTTATCCTGTTCTCGACTATAAAAAGGTCCACCAACATACGCACAATAAAGAGAGGGAATCCTTCGAGCTGCTCGGTGACGCAGTGGCTCCCACGTCCAGCACCGCGGTTGAGTCGTACTCCTGGCAAGCTGCCCAAAGCGGAAAACACCAAGCAGGAAGAACTGATTGAGGATCTGCAGCTGAAACCCGAAGAACTGGAGCAATTGCTGGAGTCGGGAGTGCTGACGTTACCAGATCGGGCGAAGCTCTAGAACTTCTCGTTGAAAGCTCCAAAGTCCCGTTTAATGTTAACACTCGTATTGAGAGCTGCCCCAAGATTATTTACCCGGTTATTATTTTGAATAAAAGACGTTATTGTTTGTTGTTTCTCTTGCATTCAAAATTCTTTTATTCTCGCTCTTGCACACAGGAACACAATTTACATTTGCTAAAATTTTCGCGTACAAACTATCAGTCATACAATTTGTTCATGAACAGGTTTGGGCAGAACTAGGGTGGTTTTGGGGTGGGGGGTTGGGGAGTGTGATAATACATCATAATTTAATAGAAACTATCTTATTGTTTAAATTCCGATTTAAAAGCTCACGCAAAGCTCTCTCGCTATCGTACACACTCTCTTTCGCTCTCGCTCGACTAAAATTTGTTAAACTAGCATTCATAATTAGCACAGAAATATGCGCCAAAAGCACCGCGCGTCAGCATTACCATTAGTTATATTCTTCTTAGTTTAATACAATTAATTTATTATAATCCTCATATGTATGTAATGTATATGTAATGCATAAGTAAGTTATGTATGTATGTATGTATGTATGTTTCATGTAAATTTCACTAGTTTGACGTTTGGTTATGTTTTGGTAGTACGTTCCGTATAGTATTTGTAGTCCCATAGTCCCGTGTAAAGTAATTCATTGTGAGAGTCCTTAAGTAAGTGTTTCGTTTAGTTTAGTTGTTGCCGTTGCGTATTTGTATAAATAGTAAGTCTCAGTTCTCAGTATAAAATCAGTACCATATGTTACGTTTTTCAATTTGTTTTGTTTTGTTTTTTTCTCGTTTTCGTTTCGTTTACAATTACCGTTGTGTACAGTTTTATTATTATTAAAAAAATATCATAATTTCTTTACATTTCTTCTTTGCTCTGCTGCGCGTGGTGCTTTTTTTTTTACTTGATACTTGCACACAATATCATACCCGTCCATACACACACACACACACACGCACACACTTAACATACACAGATTATCAAATCACAGGCAATGTTTACAGTTATAGTTGTAGCACAATTGGCATTTCTTTATAGAACAGACGACGACGACGACCTACACCCTATCCACACACATATAATAAGGCGGCAAAAATGTCCATTACCCTTATACTAGTTTATGTTTTTAAACCTAATGACGGCAAATCATAATTTTTATAAGCTTGGTTTTGACAAACTCATGAAAGTCTGAAGAGGTTTCGGTTTTTGGGTATTTTTTTTTTCTTTTGTTCTTTTGGAATGATAACATACAGATAAACTCAGTCACAGTTGCGGACACACATATTCTTACATTTATACTAGATCTCTAATGTATGTGTAGTATGTATTGTATAAAAGGTAGAAATTTGTGCTAGATGAGTGTTCTCTAGTACTGGGTGTTCCATTCACTCCCAACTCTCTCTCTTTCTCTTTTCCAAACTACTTTTCCATAAACAACCATTTGTCAATCATCATCACATAATACATCATCATTTCTTCATCATACAACGCACGCACAAGCATCATCTCAAGTACTCAATCAACACACCTGTGAAGAATATGTGCAAAGAAAAGAAATATGATTATTAGCAAAATATTAATGTGTGTGTGTGGGGACGCTTGTGCGCAGGTTTTTTTTGTTTTTGATATTTGGTTATTGTAACTAACTTATTTTGATAAATTGAATTTAAAAATTCTATGCATCACTTACATTTTTTTTTACCACAGCCATAAAGTGCAAGATCCACTCGGGGCGGGGGCCTTTGCTCAGCTTAGCTCAGGCTCAGCTCTTCTTTAATACGTTCAGAAGTCATCCAAGAGTCATTCAAGAGGCAGACATAGACATACACCACCATTCTTCATCATTCTTAATCTTCATCATATTTTGAATCATTCATAGCTAATTTTAGTACGTATTAATTTAATTAATTTTGGCAATTCAAATTGTCATGTTATTGTATGAGTGTTCTTGATATTGGTTCTAAAGTTGTCATTTCAAAAAATTCCTTATTTAATTTTTAATTCTTTGATATGTTGAAAGGGGGGTTTTTTTAAATTTTCAAATTTGTTGCTCTCTTTTGGACGGCTGTACGATATTTCAATTGCATAACGGAAATGTACCAATGTTTTTTTTTATTTTAGAATTTCTTTTTGAAATGACAACTTATTTGGAGGAGTTTTCACTGAAAAAAGCTCAAACTTAATTCAAGTTGAGCTTTTTTTAATGAATTCCATATTCTAATTGCAAATCATTTAATATTTGTATTCTTATCTACGGTATATAATACACACAATAGTTTTACATTCAATTTTCAGCACACTTTTATACTTAATTTTAGTTGTAAGTGTAATGAAATGTTCTGAAAAGATTTTAAACGGTTGGTTTGTTTTTCACTTGATTTCTATAGGATTTCCTTTATTTTTTCCTTCGTTAATCATCTTTATCTCTTTCTCGTTCACAGTCGCGTCTTTTTCGTAAGGTAGTTTCTGGTTATGTATGCGTATGCGTATGGAAGTGTAAATGAACTTACGGTAATGGTAACGGTACGTAAGTGTCGTTGTTTTATTATTTTTATTGGAACGGAACCAAGTCTGGGCTTGTAAAGGCACATTGACCAAAGCGGATACACTTAGAGGCGAAGGAAGACTGAAAAACTAGTTTACATTGTATAAATTATTTAGCAAATAAAATTGAAGTTTTGTTTTTAGAGGTTTTATGTTCAATTTAGAATAGATTAAATAGTATGAGCTTTTGTAAATAATTACTAAAATTGTATTGGAACTGAACCAAGTCGTTAAGTACTTATTGAAAGATACTTTTAAGATTTAAAAAATGATAAGCTAAATATTTGTGTAACTCCACATCATGATAACTCTGTATGATTTCTACAAATTTTGAATTTTCTAACAACAATTTCTAATATCTAAAAAGGTGATTAAAAAAATTATGTTTCTTAATTTTTATAATGATAATGAAAAGCTCGAATTTGGTTTACGTATGGGGAGAAAAAAAGGGGCCTTGGTTCCATTTCTAGTTTTCGTCCTATGTCGTTTATGTATGTAAAATGTAATGTATATTTGTCTTTCAGCGCAGTTCTCTATGCCTATGTAACGAAAAATGTAAAGTACGGTTTTTCTCGTTTTCGTTAAGTTTTGCTTTTGTTTTTTCTTTGTTTTTGTTGTATACCCTGGTCCGTTGCTCGTTGAGTTTTAGTATCTTTCGTTTATCTAATATATATATTTATATGTTTGTGTGTGCTGCAGGTAGTTGCTTGGTTGTTATTGCTGTTTTTTTACACAATTGAAATACAAAAAAATATTTATATTTAAAGTCGTTAGGCAAATTAAGCGTTATTCGTTGGCAATAATCCGAGCAACAAAAATTGTAAATAATTTCATTAAGTTAAGGTATATTTTTTCTGGAGCGTAGCGACATATTGTTTACTGTACTTTAATCAACAAAAATATAGTTAAATTTTGTTTTTTTAATGGTGTATTTTAAGAGGTTTTTGTTCTATTTTGTTATGTGTTTCTAAACCGCCACGCCCCATGCTTTGTACGTCCCTAAGTCATTTTTGTATTTCGTTTTTCCATTATAGTTACTAAGTTATTTTTCACGTTTGTGTTTTTTCAGTCGTCTTTGAGTCTTACAATTGTTTTTCGTTTCGTTTTTGTTTTGTAAATTTTAAATTCAAATCCGTTTAAAATCTTTTTTTGTTTCGTTTTTCTGTTTGGTTTTGCTTAAGACTAAATTCATTCACTAGAAAAATTCTTACGCTTAATTATTTAATATCACACAACACACGCTAACACACGCGCGCCAAAGAAAATATGAGGGAGGAAGGAGGTTTTCTTCATCCATTTTTCTCGCAATCACAAAAACCATTTGCAAAGGTTTCTCTCACAGGCATCCAATCACAGATTCACACTAGAAATATGACAATAAGTGGGTTTATTTTGGGGGTATTTTGGGATCTATGTGGGAAGGTGTTTAAGGCAGTTTGTCAGACTCGCGCACACTGGCAGGCACTCAGACTTGTAAGTAGACAAATACATACGCTCTCTCGATTGCAGTCATATATCCATATATCATCATCCATCATTCATTTTATCATAATCGCACATCAGATTCAGTTTCATCATCATTAGCGCTCACATATCTCACACGCATTTTTTTGTTGTAATTTTTAGTTTTTTTCTAAGGGGTTTTTGTTTAGATTACATATAATGATAAGTATAATTAAATCTTATAAATAAAAGGGTGTTGTTTTTTGTTTTTTCTTTTGATAGCAGCTAACTACAAGTTAATGTTTCCAGGGAATTTGTAATGCATTTAATGGGTTTTTTGTGTTTTACCGATTTTCACACGCTTAGATAATTAGGCTTGGACATAATTTCGTTTAACAACTTCTGATATCTGTTTTTGGTTATGCTTAAAATCGGGGGGAACAGCAGCCGATCCAAACAGTCTGCCCAAAAATCATAATTGTCATAATTTGCTTCTGGCCATAATAGATAGATAGATAGATGGATGGGGTAAGTCAGTGGGCAGACTATTTGGTGCGTTTAACAAAGTGGTAGTTACTATTTATAATAGGGTTGGGCTGGGGTTTTTTGTTTGTTTTGGGGTCGTTTCTTTCAACTTAAAATTAGTTTTTAGTTTTATAAACAATGTGTCTTAGCATTTACACGTTGCACAGCAACAATATATGTATAGATCGGACAAACAAAACTTAGCAGATAGAATCAGAGAGATTATTTTTCGGACTGGACTGAAAAAATCAAAAATTAAACAAAATGTTCATCATAAATTGTTCATCTCTGTGTGTGTGTGTGTGTTTCGTCCATCGGAGAGTGTGTATGTGTGTGGATGATGTGAATGAGGAAAATTTTTGGTTCACAAACTACTTACCAGTTCGGCGGCTGCATAACATTCATTCTCATAGGTGTATGGAGGAAACATTAACCTCTAGTTAGATATTCACTGTGTGATGCTCTGGCTATTGATCTTCTTGATCTCCTTGAGGGCCCACGAGCATAACATTTTCGTGCGCTGACCCTTGGAACGTTTGCCCTCGGACAGGAATTGTGTGATGACCACATCGTCCAACAGTGTGTGTAGACGTGGCCCAAACGAAGTGCACAGATCGCCAATGAAACCGGCAGCACTGGCCATCATCGAATCGGATACTTCGCCATCCTGGGCAATGCGCTTGATGAAGCCAATGATGTGCATGAGATGCGGTTCCATGTGCATCACATCGGGATGGGCTGTTTGATCGAGACCCTTGAGCCCTTGGATAATGCCAGTGTACGCCTCGAGGACACTCTCACGCAGCTCCGCAATGTACTCGTTCATGTCAAAGTTGCTGGCATCCGTCTAACAAAGGAACACAGTTTAAATCTACTCTCGGATACGTCTAGCAATAAAAGTTCTCACCTGCAAATTGGAAGCGGCACGCAGCATGTCGAGCACCACGCTCAGATACTTCAAGAAATGACTACCAATACTGAGAGCCATATCGCCAAAGGCCGAAAGTATCTGCGGCTTGACAGTGCGATGCAGAGTGGGCTCCGCCAAATTGGTCATCATCACGGACATAATCTCATCGCAGTAGGGCACCATTTGCTCCTTTGAGGGCGCGGCAAATGTCGCCGGTGAGGCCGACAGTGGCACAGCATACCTGATACTCCTGATGGTGCTTGAGGCCCATGATCAGCACATTCTTAAAGGCCGGCATGTACTTGGCAAACTGTACGCCCAAGAGCTCCACCAGTGTGGACACGGCCAGGAAGGCATCCTCCTGCACACCACCAGATTTGCCAGCACTCGAATTGAACATTGTAAGCAGAGCACTCATAATGGCATCGGAAATCTGTGGGGCATCCTGTTCGTGCACCTTGCGCAACACACTCTGCAGCGTGGCACAGAGCAGCGACTGCAGATCGTTGAACTGATGGCGATCGCTGTGATTGCTGATGTGCGACTCCATCTGCATGACTTGATTCAGACGCTCCAGGATCACAATGGTTGTGCGCTGCACCACCAGATAGCAATCGAGTGGCGAATTCTTGATCATATCCATGAGTGCCTCATAGGCAGCGCCACGCAAATTGGCCTGAGCTCCATCTGAACGATCGGTGGTCTCCAGCAGTTGAGTGATAATGAACTCAAAGTACGGCGACAGTGCGTACGTCTCGGGTGTTTCACGCTCCCCAGTGGAGGCCGCATCATAAGCGGCATCGGAGAGACCAATGAATGCCCAGCACACATTGGCGGCCACACGTGGCTCCGACTTCAAGCTCTTCACGAAGCACTCGAGCAGCGGCTGCAGATAGGTTTTGTCGATGGCCGACTCTGGAATGATCTGTAGAGCACAAAAAAACAAAGATTTAGTTTGACAACAGATGTGTGTGGAGCGGCCAATAACTTACATCGCAAATGCGTCCAAAGGTCCAGGCCGTAGTGTCGCGCACAATGACACTCGAATCGTACATCAGACGTATCAACGTGGGCATGGCCTGCTCTACCAGCGGCTTCAGCGTGTTGATCTCCAATCCATTGAGCACCGAGCCAAAGGTCATAACGGCAGCATCGCGGAAGCGCCAGTTGTGCGACTCAATGTTCTCCTTGATGAACGGCAAGACATGGGGCACTATCTCATCTTCGCAACAGGTGGCCAGCACCATCAGACACACCGATGAGGCCTTGGCCGGACTCCAGGTATCCTCATCATCGCACTCATCCTGCTTGGTTAGCTTATCGACCAGCACGGGCGTGAGGAATTGCAGGGCACCGCGAGCATAGTGCTTGGAGACACGCGCTGGGGCACGTCCCTGATCGGTGGCCTCCTGGCTCTCGATGGCCAGATCAATCTCCTCATCGCAGACGTTCGACCAGAACTCAATGCCCTGAAGGGCAACGGCATCATTCTCCGCCTTCATGGCCTCCAGCGTGATGGGGAAGAGAGCCTGGGCCATGTACGGCTCCATGAACTGATAGTAGAGAGTCATAATCTTCACCAAACACTGAAGGGCGGCCACACAGATCTGTGTGTCCGTGGACTGGGTGGCCTCGCAGACCACCTCCATGATGAAGTTGCGCTCCATATCCTTCTCGAAATTGGCCTTGGTGAACTCCAGCGAATTGTGCAGAGCCGTGGTGGCAGCCAGACGAACATGGTTGCTGGGCTCCACTTTGCGCATGCCATGAATGATGGCCGTGAGCACCTGGTTTGACTGATTCTCCATCACGCCATAGCGGATGTCCTGGCAAATGTAGCCAATGGCCTCCAGTGCAGACTCGCGATGCATTTCGCTGGATCCCTCGCTGACCACCTTATTCACCAGGGTCTGGATGACCATGCCCCAGCGATTGATGGGTAGCTCTATCACCGCCACATAGGCCACGCACTGCGCGGCACAAGAAGGACGTGTGTTCTCCGTACCCAAAGCATTGAGAATCTGTGACAAAAACAAATGTGTTGGTTGGGATTATATTGACGGGTTGGAATCATTTTGCACTCACATTATTCTTGATCAGATCGCGTATCTCGTTGGGGAACTGATGCCAACGCTCCTGATGCTGTTGCCGTACATTCTCATCCTTGCTGGTTAAGTGATTCTTTAGCTGCAGGCCAGCGGCCATGCGTGCCACCGCGCTATTTGTCGTATTTACCAGAATTTCCGACAATGCCTTAAGGAACTCGGGCAGATTGCTGGCCGCTGCCTGCTCCAAAAAGTTTTTGGCCGACAATAGTTCATTTTTGTCTAAATAAATGGGGGAAACAGTATATGTGAGGTTAGTGGTATGGTTCGATCTAGGGCTTCCCGCAGAGCATTCTCCCGCCGACTTTATCACCAACCGGAAGAACTGGTTGTTGGACTTATCGGGGTAGTAGGAAAAAAAAATGTTTCCCCCACGAATGCGCACATGTACATATGTATATACGAGATATATAACAAGCGAATACTTTTGGATGACGCAAGTTTCTGCCTTGGGGGTGAGGAGGGACGACTCTGTGTAGGATCTACAGTACCCTATCTCTGTTTGAGGTTAGGTTCGTGGCAATTTATAAATCCTTAATCATTGCACGTACAAATACACACATTCATTAAAGTGTTTGTGTGTATGTATGGGCGTATGCGTGTGCACCTAGCAACGAAACATATGCTACTCGACACGCGTATGGCAACCCTGCGCAACATACAACGAGCGGCGCGAGCGTCCCTCCCGCCAAACGACAGCAGACAACCAAAAAAAATGGCCCTGACAGGCACCTATACTTGTGGAAATTTTATGCCTAAAAAGGGGGTTGGGGTTAAAAGGAGGAGGGGGGTAGCACTCACCTGGCGACACTGTCTTCTCCAGAATAGCAATCAATTGCAGCGTTATATCGGAAGTCATTTTGCGTTTTTTTTGTGTTTTTAATTACTTTCTATTTCGTGCAGACGTCTCGAAGAGGCCAAGCGGACGGGGGATGTCAGTATGTGTGTGTGTGTCTGTGAGTGTAGGAATTTTGCGTAATTTTTGACACTTGTCCGAGAGCAACTGCAAAAACCAATAAAAATACGAATTAATATAGCAATTCGAATGGCTGGGGCACCAGTGGGGGGAAGGTTGCAACACCTTGAACGTCAGCGAATTGATTTTTTCGCTTTCAGCTCTACACACACACGCAGTAAAACTCACTTTTTTTCTTTTCTTTCGCTGTTGCTTTGCGATTCACCTTTGTCTCTTTTGCTTGCAAACCTCCCCACCTGTCCGATAAACGTGCGGAATGCGAAAATTGATATTCCACTTACTTAGGATTGTATTTAATGAACGGTCAAGTTGGGATTAATATGGCTAGAATGCCTTTCTTGTGGCTGTCTTAAAACGAATTGAAAGCGAAACAGGCCGGTTCGATTAATTTCACACATGTGAAGCCTCGCAATGGATGGCAACGCTGTTCTGGCAGTTGTATTTAAATTCCAAGCGAAAATTAACAAAAGCTCAATAAAACACAAATGCTAAACGAAATACTTATGAACAAAATAATTCTGTCAAATTATGCTTATTTTCTTCTTGTTAAATCCGTTTTATTGAATAAAACAAATTCAATGTATCGATATCGTTGGAACGATACATCGAATTCAATTTTGAAACAACTAGGTGGCAACGCCTGACTACGCAGTGCTGACGTTCGGCCCAAAAAATAGGAAACGTAGTTGGAAAAGTTAAAAAACAGAAATATTCGACAAAAACAGACGGCAATAAACGCAAAACAGTTGCTGCACTTGCTCCCCCTTCTGTGTGCGTGTGTGCAACGTGTGTTAATCTGCTGCAGCACGGTGCATAAATCGGCAAATCTCTAGAAACAATAGCCACAACACCGAAGATGATCCTGCATTGTGGTCCGCCACGGGTCCTGTCCCCGCTGCTGTTGTTGCTCCTGCTGCACACGTTGTTGACACTGGGAGGCGCCTTCTATTTGCCTGGCCTGGCACCGGTTAACTTTTGCAAGACAACCGATGTGTCCACCACATGCAAGGTATGTACAGACACTCTGACCTGACCCCTCTGTCCGTGTTTCCCTGTCCGTGTCCATGTCAATGTCCGAGTGTGTGTTTCTGTTTCATGCCTTAACAATTAGCAATAGGGCAATGCAATGCTGATAAATTCCACTAATGGTTGTGAGAAAAGGCGGAAGCATACTGATAAGGCCCAGCATTGTGGCTGCTGGCTGCTGGCTGCTGACGTTGACTCTTACGTTTGTCGTTGCTTTTGCTGTTTAGACTTAGACATGCTTTAATATCATACCTCATACCGTCTTGTTGGTTCAGTTGGCCAAGATACCATTATGATGATCTAGACCTTATTTGTATTGCCTTATGCGCTTGATAATCGTTTGTACACTCTCAAACAATAGTTTGCAGATAAAAAGGCGGAGGCCTGATAGCTTTCAATTGAAACTGTCGTACATTTATCAATTGCCGCATGGGCATATTCCTGATTGATGAAGTATTTCTTTTATTTCTAAACCTCTTCCAGTCGGATGTTATCTTATATGTTAACCGCTTGAATACTGAGGAATCGGTCATACCCTATGAATATCATCATTTTGATTTCTGTCTGGGCAAAGAGGAGAACTCTCCCGTGGAGAATCTGGGACAGGTGGTCTTTGGCGAGCGCATACGTCCGGGTCCCTATAAAATTCAGTTCCTGGAGAATCAGCCATGCGCTGTGGTAAGTCGAAGCACTCGCAAAACTCTAAGGCAAATAAAACTATACTACTTTGTGTATACTGTAGGCCTGCACCAAGGAATACAAGGGTGGAGATCCCATCAGCAATCGTCGCATGATGGTGCTGAAAAAGGGCATCAGCTTGAACTATCAGCATCATTGGATTGTGGACAATATGCCGGTGACCTGGTGCTATCCGTTGGAGAATGGCAAACAATACTGCGGCACTGGCTTCCCCATGGGCTGTCTCGTGCGCACCGATGGCGAGGGCTGTCCCATCAACTCTATCTACAATCAGCCCATGCATTACTATCCCTTCAATCATGTGGACCTGGAGATCACCTATCACAGTGGACAGCTTGAGGACTGGGGCATTGGCTTTGGCAACAGTGGACGCATTATCTCGGTGAAGGTTACACCCAAATCAATCAAACACACCGATCCCAAGGCACCCAACTGCCTGAGCGCCGATCCACTGGCCATTAGTGAGACCTCACTGAAGGCCGGCGAGCAGCTGAACATTGTCTACACGTACAGCGTCAAGTTTGTGAAGAACGATGCCATCAAGTGGTCGTCGCGTTGGGACTACATACTAGAGTCCATGCCCCATACGAATATCCAGTGGTTCTCCATCCTCAACTCCCTGGTGATTGTGCTATTCCTGAGCGGCATGGTGGCCATGATAATGCTGCGCACCCTGCACAAGGACATTGCCAGATATAATCAGATGGACAGTGGAGAGGATGCACAGGAGGAGTTTGGCTGGAAGCTGGTCCATGGCGATGTCTTTAGGCCGCCACGCAAGGGCATGCTTTTGTCCGTATTCCTGGGCTCTGGCATTCAGGTGCTCGTTATGTCTATGATCACACTGGCCTTTGCCTGTTTGGGCTTCTTGTCGCCGGCTAATCGCGGTGCTTTGATGACCTGCTCCATGGTTCTGTTCGTTTCGCTGGGCACACCCGCTGGTTATGTTTCGGCGCGTATTTACAAGAGTTTTGGTGGTCTCAAGTGGAAGAGTAATGTCATTCTTACATCGATTGTGTGCCCCGGGTGAGTAGTGGCTGATATGTTGTTGCTGCTTTTTGCTTATTTATCTTCGATCTATCTTGCAGTGTTGTCTTCTCGCTGTTCTTTGTGATGAATCTGGTGCTGTGGTTTGAGAACAGCTCGGGTGCTGTGCCATTTAGCACATTGATTGCCCTGCTGGCCCTCTGGTTTGGCGTATCAGTGCCGCTGACATTTGTTGGTGCTTACTTTGGTTTCCGCAAGCGCGTAAGTGGCCAATGGCCCAACTTTAACTTAGTTTCTAACTAATTTTATGTATTTTGTAGGCCCTGGAGCATCCGGTGCGCACCAATCAGATACCACGACAAATACCCGATCAATCGATTTACACACAACCGATACCCGGCATCGTTATGGGCGGCGTGCTGCCCTTTGGCTGCATTTTCATCCAGCTCTTCTTTATACTGAGCTCACTGTGGTCCAGCCAGATGTACTATATGTTCGGATTCCTTTTTCTGGTCTTTCTTATACTGGTCATCACGTGCTCGGAGACAACCATTTTGCTGTGCTATTTCCATCTATGTGCCGAGGACTATCATTGGTGGTGGCGCTCTTTCCTGACATCGGGTTTCACGGCTGTCTATCTGTTCATCTACTGCTGTCACTACTTCATCACGAAGCTCTCGATCAAGGACAGTGCCTCGACGTTCCTGTATTTTGGCTATACGGCCATTATGGTATTCCTGTTCTTTTTGCTAACGGGCACAATTGGTTTCTTTGCGTGCTTCTGGTTCATACGGAAGATCTACAGTGTCGTCAAGGTGGATTAAGTGCTCGATTAATGGATGGACAATGAGGAGAACGAGGAGCGGAGGACAAGAATTGTGTGTGCAAATGTATTTTTGTATTTGAGTAGCCACAAATTTACACTTAAGCCTAACGTGTGTGCGTGTGTGTGATTTCTGCGCTGTGCGCCCCAGCAGCATGCGACAGTTTTCTGTTTATTATATTTATGATTTGATACATATATTTGTGTATCCCCCCGTAGCAAGGAATGAAGCGCGCAATAATCTTTAAGTAAACCACAACAATAATATGATGTTGTAAATGATGGAGTAAACCGCCCCAACATTTTTTGTATAGTTTTCACACCTTTCTCTTAAACTTTAGGCATAAAGTTTAGCCGTGTCCAATTCCCCCAAAACGATCGATTCCAAAAATTGTATTCAATTTCGTACTTTTAGAGAAGACCTCGAGCCAACTTCAACCCCAAAAGAGAGTACTAATTTATGCCGCAATTCTATAAAGTACTTTAAATCATAAATATTTCTACCTTATTTCTATTCTGTAATATCAAAGCCTAACAACTGTAATTAGTGGCTCGTCTTATCAATAATTCGAGCAGGTTGCAATTCAAGTGTGTGTAATATTTTTAAATACTTTAGTTTAAACTATTTAAATCTAACTTGCGACTAAAGAATAAACAAAAAATATATAAATTATAAAATGGAACCCTCGCTCGAACACTCTCTTTTTATTTTTTTTGCTATTCTGCAACCCTTGACTAATGTCAGAAGCAAAACCCTTTTATGGTTTCTGCAAGCTCTCGTGCCACACTCGGTGTGCGAATAGACATTTCTAGCTCAGAGTTTGGCCATGTCAGAGACTGTGGACAGCGATGTGGATGAATACGATGAGCTATCGGAGCTGCGACAACGCCAGAAACCCCAAACTCAACCCTCAGTGGATGTACGTATCGTAATACTCCAAAACTCCCAACCCAAACGCAACTCACTCTGTTTTCTTTGTGGTTACTTCCAGGAGGCCTTCGATTTGGATGATTTGCTGCCGACCATTGGGGAATTTGGCAAGTATCAGAAGCTTTTGGTGTTTGGCATTTGTCTGCCCGCCTGCATTCCTTGCGGCTTTTGTGCCTTCAATCAGCTGTTTATGGCTGATACTCCGGATGACTATTGGTGTCGCATACCCGAACTGCTGGACATGCAGCTGGAGCAGCGCAAATACCTGGCCATACCCAAGGAACTGGTGAGTGAGTGAGTGGATGGAATGGGATGGGATGGGATGGGATGGAGTGCAGCCATATGAGTGCTAAAGGTTGACTATCAAGCCCCCAGAGCTCTCATTGATTGTGCGTTTGTCGTGTGACAAAATGTCGATACGGGGGTGGTTCGATGAGTAATCTAAGTGTTGGAATAGAGATGAGAGATAGAGATAGGGGCAAATAGTGAAGAGGTCTTTGTGCAAGTGTTTTCCGAGAATTGGTGAAATGTCAAGTACCCGGAGACTGTTGGGTGTTTTTTATGATCACTTAAAATTCCGATAAGACTACAAAAACAATAAATTTTAGTGGGAAAAATAACTTGGTACATATAGCAATTTTTTTTAATCATTTTTATCAGGAATCGTTAGGGCTCTAGTTTTTAATAAATTAAAAAATATGAACTACAAATTCATTTCTGATTTTAATAAAAAAATCAGAAATAACATAACAATAGATATAAATAAAAAATAAAAAAAATGAAGATGCAAAAAATTTTAAAATGCAAAGTAAAAATGGCATTACTTTTTTTTGTATTTCTGTTATCCTCGTTATCTTATTAAATTTTAGATAACACTGGGTGAGAAATATAAGCATTTTATTTTAAAATTAAGAAAGTTATAAAACAATTCGATGCAGGATAGGGACTTTTTTCGACTTTAAATTAAAAAAAAATATACTTATATGTGATCTTTGGTTTCAAGTTTCAGTTGATTTTTTAAAACTGATTTTTATTGTTGTTTTAAAGGAAAACGATGAGCTGGTCTACAGCAAATGCCATACGTACGGTGTTAATTGGACGCAGCTGCTCGAATCACTCGAAGACGAGGATGACCTGACCACACTGGAACCAAACAGCACTTGGCCGGTGGTTAAGTGCAGTCAGGGCTGGGAATATAATACCACCACTGTGTGGTCCTCGATTGTGATTGATGTGCGCGCACAGTTTCCGGTTCCCTACTCAACTCAACTCACACATTAAAATTTCATTTAGGAAGCAGCTTGAAAACATTTCCCCAAGCATGAAACCAAACACACCATTGCCCAACAGTTAACCCATGCTAATCGACAGTTTACCGACAGTTTGATTTGGTGTGCGATCAGGATATATATCCAACTGTTGGCTTGGCGGCACTCAACACTGGCGGACCTGTGGGTGTATATCTGTTTGGGTTGCTCAATGATCGTGCCGGCAGGCGACTGTCGTACTTCACCTGTTTGGCCACTTTGCTGGCGGGTAGTTTGATGACTTCGCTGAGCAAGGACTTTTGGACTTGGGCTGGCAGTCGCGTCATTGTGGGCCTGACCATACCGGCTGTCTATCAGATACCCTTCATCATATGTAAGTGCAGGCATACTGGGGTTTTATTTCAGCTAAAAGTTTACCCATTTTACAGCTCTGGAGTTGGTGGGCGAGAACTATCGTTCGTTTGTCACTGTGATGACCTGCACCTTCTACACCTCGGGCATTATGCTGTTGTCGGTGATCTGCTATCTGGAGCGGGATTGGGTGCGCCTCTCCTACATCACATCGCTGCCCTTCTATGCCTATTTCCTCTACATGTTTGTGATGCCGGAATCACCGCGTTGGCTTCTGATGCGTGGCCGCCTGGAAGAGGCGCTCAAGATACTGGAACGCATGGCTCTAGTGAATGGACGACAGTTCCCAGAGGCAGTGCACAGCAAGCTGGAGGCACAAATACGTCGCGACAAGCTCAAGAAGGAGAAGAAAAAGGTGGCCAATGTGGGCCTGAGGGATCTCTGTCGTACGCCCAATATGCGACTGAAAACAATACTGATTACGCTCAGCTGGTTTGCCAATGAAACTGTCTATCTGGGGCTCAGCTACTACGGACCCTCGCTGGGCACCAATCAGTATGTCAGCTTCTTTCTGTCGGCTGTGGTGGAGCTGCCCAGCTACCTCTGCTGTTGGTACTTTATGGACACCTGGGGCAGACGTTGGCCACTCAGTTTGTCCATGATATTGGGGTGAGATCTCAGTCTTGTAATCTATAATTATAGCTACTAATGTACCACGTGTCCTGCCCAGGGGCGTGGCATGCGTCATAACTGTGATGCTGCCCGATGAGGCAGTCGATGAGACGCTTTATCTGTATTTGGTATCCAAGGCCCTGCTCTCGGCCTCCTTTCTAATCATCTATCCATTTGCTGGCGAGCTGTATCCCACACAAGTGCGTGGCATAGGCATTGGAGCTTCCAGCTATATCGGAGGATTGGGTCTCATTGTCATACCCTTTGTGACGTATTTGGGCAAGGAGAACCTCAAGCTGCCGCTGGTTATCATGGGGTTTGTTTCCATGCTGGGCGGAATGACGGGTCTGCGATTGCCGGAGACGCTGCATCATCGTCTGCCGCAGACCATTGAGGAGGGCGAAGAGTTTGGCAAGGACTGGCAGCTCAAGGACTGCTGCAGATGCGCCCAAAAACAGTGAGTGTTAGCGTGAGGAAATGTTATCATTCGAAACTAATATTTGAATAATCTTCTAAGGATTGTGCTCTCCCAGCCCACATCGTATGAGAATCTGGATGTCTTGGGTGGTTCATCCAACACGGCCTCCGAGGCGGAGGTGGAACAACTGGAGCTGCGTGACAATCGACGTGTACGCCAGCAGGCGCCCATGAGTTCGATCGATGAGCGCACGCCATTGGAGGGGACGGGAATGGCCAGTGGAAGTCGACCCGTTCATCGGCCGTCCATGAAGCGTTTGGTGCGTCAGATGAGCATCATGGATACACAGCGAACCAATGATGGCACCATGCAATTAACACATTGGATTTAGGCAGCTACCCATAACAGTGGGTATATTTAGCAGCACGAAACAGTGAGGTTTTAGCTTAAATAAGACAGTCTTAATGCTGGTATAAAATGTCAGTATATAAGAATGTTAAATTTACTTATGACAGTTTATTGGTTAGCCCTATGATCAGTGGGTTCAGAGCTGTATCGCCAGGAGTTTTGATTTGTAACTGAATAGTAATCTATTTCGATATAAAAGCCATATATGCCATATACATGTCTTAACATAAGCAAACAATACAGAAATTCTTGTTTAATTTCGTTTGTAATTTTAAAAATGTTCGAATACCAGTCAAGATATATGCAGGTAGCCATGGCAAGCGAACCTACTAAATAAATAATACTACTATGAGATATAAAAGATCATATAGTATAATGACATACAAGAACGCCAAACCATGTTATATATTAAGTTATAAATCAGTGAATCAGCTTGAGTAAGGGTATACACGAATTTTTAAATTTATCCAAGAAACAAAAATTATGCACAATACCTGCTAGTTTGCAATTGAATGTTTTTTTTTTAATATACCAACAAAAAATGCCCTAAATAAATGTAATTATAATAGACACTAAAGGAACAGTATAGAACACTTCGATTCCAGCGATAACGATGGATCGGAACGATGTTTTCCATATAACAAAATAAACAAATATTTCCTTAAGTGCTATATTATTAGACCTTAAATTAAAACAAAGAAACATTGCCTTGATTTGAATTCGATAAAAAAAGTAGATACTAAGTAAAGCAGTGGCAGGAGATAATTGCCATATTTACGGATATTATACCATAACCATTTCCCATATGGAATATCAATATTAACTTTAATTGTAGAGCATTGCTATTAGCTGTAAGTCGCGTTTAATTCAACTCTAAACAAAGCACTAAAACCAAAAAAAACAACGATAATGGAGGGGAAAGTATAAAACCGAAAATTAATTCTTCAAACATATCCGGTAAAATAAATAAATATATATGAGGCGGGCGCATTACTGTAACATTACATTACATATCTCTATGATATACATACATATATATAAATACATACATATATATATTATATACTGTGTGTGTGTGTGTGACACACAACAATGGCGACTTCTCAATCATTGCTATTGATTTATGCATTTATTCACGCAATTATGCAATTAATTGTTGTCAAACAAAAAGAAAAACTTGTTTATGGAGGAATGCATAAAATTGCCATATAGCTGGACGGACGGACGGACACATTGCTAGCGGTCACTGTCAGCCATAGGAAGTGCAAGGCCAATCAAGGGAATCACAGCACTATCATTGTATACCCGGTAATTGTTGCGTATTTTGGGATTGATTCATAAGGTTCTCACGGTTTTGTTACTCCATAAATATACACACATATTTCATACATATATTCGTATAATAAATGCATATAAGAGAAGAGCAAATAAAAATGTTTTAACAGCTAAAATCTGATTTATACCCAGCACCTTCCCGGTAGAAAAATACACACAAAATTAAAGATATCAAGCTCGAGTAATAACTACACTCATAATTATGAAATATATATTCATGGTTTCTTCTCGCATTACGTATTATTTTTCGCCATCAGATTCCAGCCAAATAAGTCAAAAAATATATCTATGACATAAATGTATGTGTCAAAAATGTAGCTAGCAAAATTTAACTTTAGGCCCTTTTTTATAGAATGGGTGATGAAAAATTACACTTGGGCCTCGCACCACTTCGCTCTGTGTTCCGATGTTCGACCAACATTTTGGACCTAAACCACGACACTATGCTGCGCGTGTACGACTATCTGACCGATATGACGGATAAAGTGCGGCTGGCCAGCACTGCGCCCAAGTTCCGGGAGGCCTTCAAAATCTGGGCCTGCAAGCAGCGGCATAAGCTCGCCTTGGAGGATTTGGAGACGATGAAGCTGCCGGAGATGATCAATTTCTTTACGCTGGCGGGGCCATACATCAAAGTGCTGCAGGTAGACTGCGCCTGGCACGAGAAGGAGTCGCTGCTGATGGAATTTTTAGCGGAGTACTGCAAAAATCTGGAGGAGATCTACTATTCAAATGTCACCGATGATTTCCACTATCGCACAATCATGTCACGGATGAAGCATCTGAAGCGGATCACCATCGATTGTGTGGATGCGGAGGATGTGCTTAGCTTCGATCTGCAGTCCAATCGCGGTCTGGAGTACTTTGAGCTGATCAATGGCTGTTATACGGGTGGGGATTCGATCACATGCTCCCTGAAGCCTTTCTTAATTGTTGTCTTTGCCCAGGCAAACATCTCTGCGGTTTCCCCAAGCTCCACACTCTGATTCTGCGCGACTGCTTGCTCTGGAACTCTGGAGAGTTTGGCATACCGTTGAGGTCCTTGCGCATCCTCAACCTGGACGACTGCTGCTTTGAGGTAATGAACGAGAGTCTCTACCACAAGATAGCCGACTGCTGTGTGCACCTGGAGGAGCTCCATTTCTCCGGCTGTGACTCGCACTTCGAGGTGATTGCCCAGCTGCCGAAGCTGAAGCGCTGCACGCTCAAGACCTGGGTGACCTCCAATGAGCTGAACATTGGATTCCTCAACACACTGGCCGAGCAGCGGGGCAACAAGCTCACCCATTTGCATTTGTCCGGCCAGTTTGAGATCACCATTGAGCATGCCCGCGCCCTGGGGCTGTTGCACTCGCTGCAGGAGCTGCGCTGGAGCAACAACGACATCCTGGAGGATGATCACTTCAAGTTCTTCAACGATCTGGGTCTGCTCGACACCTATGGCATGTCCTTCTGCGGCCGTGTCACGGACATTGGCCTGATGCGTCTGCTGCGCAAGTGCGCACAGCTCAGGCTGATTGAGCTCAAGGAATGCGATCAGATCACCAATGAGTTTGTGCTCAATGCAATCGGTTGTCTGGCCAAGCCCTCGCCAGGCCGCCATCTGGTGATCAATGTGCTGGGCACCAAGATCAAGGAGAGTCTGCTCACAGTGGGTAGTCATAGATTGTTACAGATTTTTCTATTCATAAATATTGTCATCCTTATTTTTTTTTTTTTCGTTGTTTGCTTGCAGTCCATCGAGTATCTGGCGCCCTTGAACAATGTAAAACTGAACTTTGTCTGTGAATAAAAGCGAAACAATGGGATCCCACACCACACTACACTTAGTCATGAACCACAAGGAAGTGCTGGACACAGAATATTTATGATCATACACACACACACACAGAGAGTACGCCATTAGCAATGGGTTAGATAATTGCTGGGACAAGCGTGTGCTGCGGCACTTTAATAATAATAAAATAGAAATCCCAAATCGGTATTAAAACAATGCTACGATATTTGATACATTTCGATTTGGTTTGGTTTGTGGATTCAATTCGATTCGTGGCAATAAATTTCGCATTCAATTGTTGAACTTTTGCTGTGCTTGATGATGTCTGTGTTAGCAGCAGGAAGCATTGAAATAGACCCAGACACAGATCAGAGTGGAGTGCGACCAGTTGGCTAGATCATGCTACCAATACTCACCTGTGGCCAGTTCAGTTCAGTCCAGTCCAGTCCAATGGTTAGTCATCGATTGCGATCTCTCTCTCTCTCTCCCCTCTGTGTGTGCAACTGGCTTGCGTGCTTCCACATTGTTGGTGGCCGTCTCTGGCTCTGACCTCGAGTTGCTCCTTAAATGGTTGTCGGCAGCAATCGCTTTGACTCTCTGATCTTAGGGGGGTGGTGGTGGGGGTTGAGCGTGAGCTTGGGGCACCAATGCCTTGACATGTTCAGGTGTCTGGTCCATGTACAACAGCGAGTAGCTGACTAATTAGTGTACTTTAACTGGTCCAAAATCGTTGACATTTGTGGCCATGGAGCCATGGGGCCATGGAGCCATCTTCTCCAAACCATCTTTCGATCCATTGGAGAGTTTGCATGAGTAGAGCAAATTAAGCGGGAGGCTTTTGTTTTGTTTTTTTCCGCTCCTACTAGATAGTACGGTATACTCGAAGCGTGTCCAATCACGCCTGTGAATTATTTAAAAATCTCTGCTGCTATTTCATAAGAGACAAGCCTTAAAATTGTTACCCTAACCCCTCCTGATGCTCATAGAAATTCGTGTTGTCGTTTCGTTGTTGCTTGTCTGTCTGTCTGTCTGTCTGTCGGTTGTAGTCTCTGTTGTAGTTGTTGCTGTTGCTGTTGTTGTTGTTGTTTTGGGGGGCCTTGCGATTATGGGAAATGGCTTTTGCTATCGCTTAGCACACCTCTCAAATGGATGAACTTTTAGTGTCGCTTAATGCTTGAGAAGAACCTCCAAAGGGGCGGTAATCTCTCTTCGGTGTGATGGTTTTTTTTTTGTTTTGTTTCTAGCGATGAGTGCAAGTAAAAGGCATCCCGGAAAAGTGCACTAAATGCTTGCATAGGAAGAAAAGCTATAAATTGTTTTGGTCATACATCTTTAACATAATCGGTTTTGGTTTGGCCATTATCAAGCGGCCTAAGGGAGATTTCTGCTTTGTTAGCATTGGCGTCACTTTTTTTTTTAGAAATACTTTCCATTTTTGGCATTTTTTGATTGATTTGGTGGATTGTTTGATTGACTTTAAGTATGTAATTTACAACAATACGGATATGGGGCTGTAAATTTATAAATTTTTGCTAATTCTAAAAATGTATAAACTCAAAGAAAGTGGAATTTATACGCACTTTATTCAAAGAAATCTTATATTTATTTTGTCATATTATTTACTTTTAATTTTCTTATACTTTCTGTGTATACTTAATATTGCTCATTTATTTTTAGGCAACGACCTAATAAATTTAAAAAAATTTAATTATTATAATTCCTGGGAAGTTCTCCCAGTTCTTTCTTAATGCGCGCCTATTTATTAATAATAAAATATAAAGCCAAAAAGTGAGACTAATTTGCATTTGTTTTCCATGTAAAAACAAAGTTGAAAACACACATTATTATATTCTATGTAGTAACTTTTTTTATTTGTCCACCTACAGATCTGCTTAACATGTTAAAAAAAATCTCTTAATTTCTTTAATTTTCGGCTAACATTTATTGCCCTGCTCAAAAATCAAGAAAGAAATAAATGTTTATGAGACACCCACCAACAGTCCATGCAGTGAACGACCCACTTTGTTTTGTATTCGGCAAATTATTTTGTGGCACGCCACATGCTGCAACAGCAAGAGCAACAGCAGCAGCAACAACAGCAGCAATAACAGCGGCAGGCAACACAACACAACACTAACAACTGCCACTAAGAGTTGCCAACATTAATTTAATATTAAAATTACAATATTTTCGTTTCTTTTTTTTTATGCCTGATGTTGTTGTTGTTGTTTGGGCAGATCCAAATGCATTTGTATGATTCTTCGGTGATGTTTTCATGCACGACTTTGGGGACTTGTCGATGGATGTTGCATTTGCTGCTGCTGTTGCACCGCTGCTGCTTCTGATCATGATGATGATGATGATGATGAGGATGATGGTGATGCAAAAGTTAATTTGCAAGCTGCACACTCCCTAGTTCTTCTTCGGCTGAACTTTTTCGCTGCATTCGTTCGGGGGAGAAGCGAATGATTGGCACATTAGCAACAAATTGTTAGTACATCTTATTTAAGCCGTTTAATTAATTCCGCGCATTCTGAATAGCCAAAAAAAAGAGCTACAAAAAATACAATAAAAGAATAGAAAAGAAGTTTGAAAGCCTTTTTGTTGTATGCGAAATAGCGACTGTGGAAATTACCTGTTTTACCCATCAAGAGAATGCTGCTAAAGAGGGGAAAATTGTATTTAAGGCTGAAAAAGAAATTATGGTAAGAAATAACTATAATATATAATATAAATTATTTGTTAATAGAAATGATTGTCAATAGATTATAATAATTATTATAATTCCAATAATTATTAGTTATATTTCTGGGTTCCAATATATGTAACTGTACCAAATATATATTTTTATATCAATCAGAAGGAACTAAGACATGGATTTAAGTGGCTCACAGTTTCAGGAATTCGCACAGATAGACATATCCACAATATTGATTTGCAAGAAGAATCTATGGAACTTATAAGAGTGGGAGTATTTACCTTTTAGTAGTTTATTGCAGCCCTTTCTTCTCTCTGTTACACAAAACCCAAAATACCCTAGAGCTATGCAAGTACCAGGTACTACACGTAGAATCCAAGAAGTAGAAACCGAAAACCGAGAAAAAACAATCAGCCAAGCCACACGAAGTGAGCTTCCAGCATCTTTGAGCCAACATCTCGGGCCAATTGCCAGTCGAAGACGTGCTTAGGCTTGTCAAGGTGCCCCCGACCTGGTCGGATCGGTTCGGTTCGGTTCAGGTCTGGCCCAGGTCCAAGGGGGATTGCGGATCTCCATGTTACCTATGTAAGTACTCGTACATATACATATATATATGTATATGTGTATGTTTGTATATTTGTTATGTGGAAGCTACCTTCAATTTGACAAAAGCCGCTGTCAGACAACGCGATTGCATGTTGTGCCTTTCAATTGCTGACCAAGTTCTCCTACTCCTCGAACTCCGGCGGGTTCTCTCGGGTCTCAGATCTCTGGTCTCTGGTCTCGGGTCTCAGGTCTCGGGTCTCGGGTCTTATGTCTCTGGTTTCTGTTCTGTGCTATCAATTGATACAAATCTATGCAATTTTCGAATATAGAGACATAAAAACATGGCACAACTATTGCCACACTGAATGTCAATAAATAATACAGTGGAACCCCACTCGCACACACACTTACACTACTTAGACTATTCTCGTACATACATACATATATACAGTTAGAACATATCACATTGCACATTGCAGTTGCCAGAGACAGGTCGAGGTCGCCGTTGGTTTGGTCGTCCAAGCGCCGCAGGTGAGAAAATGGCCAATAGAAGTCGACATGGACCAAAAGATGCCACTTAGTTGCAGCCAAACATGCAACTGGTTGCATCTGGCGGCGACTGCAACAATGCTCATGCACTGAGAGAGCAATGAGGGGAGAAGTTAACTAAGTTTATGGAAGAAGTTTGAGTGCATTTTAATTCTAAATAAAGTGGAACAAATCTAGAAGGGAAGACCAAAGCCTAGAAGGAGGTGAGGTTCCTGTCCCATAATTTAAGCGAGTTCCACAATTGTTAAATATTTCGAACTTAAATCTAAACTAACTAATTATGTACATGCCTCTTCCAAAAGAATGGCCACCCATCCAGCATTCCCCTTTTGCTCCATCAACCAACAACTGGGGGAAAAAATACATTAATTAGGTCTAATGATTTTTTCGCAGTGTAGTCACTTCATTTTCTATCTTAGGAGCTAGCAATTAGACATGTCTGCAATTGGAATTAGATATGCACTGAGAGAAATTGTTTTCCTAATTAGCGAGAAGTTTCAAGGTGGAGCAGCATTTCCGGCAAATTAAACTTAATTTCTTTTAGTAATTTTTTGTGTAATTTTTCAGTACTGAAAAGAGAAGAAAAACAAACTGCTAATGTTGGGTAAATCTTTTTCTCAATTTTATTTAAGTTTTCATTCTGCTTGGGTTATTTTCTTTTTTGTAGTACAGAAACTCGAAATTATTACTGCCGAAAATTACGCTTTGGAAACTGCAATATGTGTTTGATATACAGAAACGAATATGCTCTAATTTGAAGTTCCATTTAAGTTAATTTTTTGGTGCCAATGTTCCCTGGCATTTCTTTCAGTGCACAGAGGCATCTTCTTCCATGTTAGGGGGCCAGCAATTGGAGCTGCCTGTGGCTCTGTCTAGAACATCGTGTGCTCTTTATCACTGACAGATTGTGCTGGCCATTTAATTTATGGCAATTCTCACATGCACAACAGTACCTCTCCCCCTTCCCCACCCCTTCCCGCGCTGCTCGCTTCACCCAGCCGCAGACTCGGAGTCGAGCATCTTTCAGAACATTGTTAGATCTCGCTCGCGGGGATTGGGTGTGGGGCTGTGGTTGTGGTGGTTGTGGGAATGGCGGTATCGAATGGCCGCGGGTTGGCGGGCATTCGAGTTATTCAATCCATTCGCCTGGGCAACCTTTAGAACATCGGCCATCTGCATAAATCAATTGTTGATTGTGATTTACAAATGAGACGACGCGGTGCGCGCATGAGGCGGATATTATCTGCAACTGAAACTGTAATATTCAAGATCGGAATGACTTCCCTTATACGCGCATCAATGTAGTCTAATCGTATTTCATATAATGTTCTATATTCTTTCATTATAAATATAAGAATCCATGAGCCTCTTTTGTGAGTAAAATATTACGTGCAGATTAATATATCAAATAACTATGCCATGCC